TTTTTAAAGCAGAACATTGTATTCTAAGGATCACGAACGGTTAATAATTATAGGCTAACAATTCGGGTTTGGCTAATCATTGTAGATCAGCCATCTGGATGCTTGGAGCCAAAAATGATCTTGTTAAGGCAGGAGTGTGGAGCACTGAATTATCAGCTAATGCTAACAAGCTTAACTAGATACCGACATCTCGTAACTAACACGTAAATAAATCACTAGACTTTTACTCACCAAAACTGCAGCACAGTTAGTACAATTAAAAACACGAGACCACTTTAGAAGGTCCAGCTCAGTTTCTTCTCTTAGCAGAGGCGACACCTAGCATACGGCTACACCTGTTAGTTAAAGTGACCACGCCCCAAATTTGCACATATTTAAACCCTATTATTTAAATAGGTGACTTGTTTTTACTTAAGTAGGATTTTAACATTTACTTAAGTAGCTTAATAGTACATAGATTCTACTAAATATATTTAAAGTACTTGCAGTAAGTAGACCACGTTTTAATTTGTCTTCTTAATTTGCTTTCAAAATATTTTTTATGCTAAATTGTTTATTTCAAACAGTACATTTGTATTTCTGAGCAGAAAATCATTATATCAAATAAAGCTCTTAACGACCAAAAACAGAAACTCGGTTGCTCCATTTTATTTTCTTCTCAATGACAAGAATCACACCAAAAATACAAAAAACACTTTTCTTTTTTTAACTTTCAGTATGAAGTGCTTCAAAACACACACACACACACACACACACACTGGGAACTGTTTTGACAAAAGCTCTTAAAAAATGTCTATGATGGAAAAGAAGCAGGGTTTCTCTGCAGGACAGTGTACCTCTGATCACCTGTGAAATATTACGTGTCATTTCATGTCAAACGTTGTGATTTAAACACATGAAGCAAACAGGAAGCCTCTGCCCTTGGGCTGCACTACTCACCTCTACTGTATCAACACCAGCTGGGAAACAGAAAGGCCCTTTTCTACTACAGCCTATCACCAGCTACTATACATTTGTGACACTCTTCAATTAAAACAGTGATTTCTTTATTTGTTTTCCTTTTTTTTGCTGCATCAAGAGGTCTTCTTCTTGGCTGCTGCAAAAAGTCTGTGGTAATGTGGGAGCGGGTACGCTCCAGGTCAGGAGCCTCTCACAGTCAGATCAGGCCTGTGATGCTAGCCTCTCAATGATTCTCCTGTAGTCCTCCACAACATCCTGGTAACTCTTCTCCAGCTCCTCGTGCTGTGTCTGAGTGTCCATCTGACTCATGTGGGACACCAGCTCCTCTGGCCGTAGGCACTTCCTCATCTTCGCCAGCTCCCTCTGATTCTTCTGCACAAAATAAATGACATAAATCAGTGGCTGAGGCCGCATGCATACAAATTCTTCTGATTTCAAATTTTGGTTCAAACGCTCTCCTGTGTCTTCAGCACATGTTGGATAAACACCTAAAGAAGGCTCTCTTGTCTTTTCAGCATAGTAGTTGTAGTTTTTTTTGTCTTGTTTTTGATTAAAGACAAACTCTGTATAGAGGAAGAGTTCAAAGCTGCTGTCTGGCATAGAGAAGAAAGACTGCAGTCAGAAAGTCATCAGTTTAAAATGTTTACTTAGCATAATTTTTCTTTTAATTGGTTTATGAAAAGATTTCAGGGTTTTTTTTAACCCTCCAATACCAAAAAAGACTTAAACTTCAATGCACTGGAGTCTTTTTATATGAAAAACTGATTAAATATCAGAAAAATAATCTCCATTAAAGTCTTTGTATATGCTACTCTCTCATCTTTGGAGTCATCTCTTTATTCCGTCTTTATTGTGTAACACACATTCTTCTTTCAATGGCTTTAACATCATGGTTTTGACTGCATGGCTCGTTATTGGAAAGTTAGAGAATGAGTTACTCTCTAATAAAGGGTTCTTAGTGTACAGTAATCCATCAAACAGTGTCTGAAATCCTCCTCATGACAGAAGACGACGGCAGAAGTTTACAGTCGTTAAATAGCTCAAAAATGTGAACAATGGAGATCCATCCATCCATTTTCTCATAATTATGCGGGTCCGAGTTGTGGGGGCTTTACCAATTTCTGTCCTTCATCTACCCAGGGGCTGCCTACAGGTAAAATACACCTGAACCATCTCACCTAGAAGAGGTCCTGCTTCGGGTTGGGTTGGTTCTGCTGCAGGTTTACCTGATTGATACAAAACCCGTGAAGCATAGACTAGAGTCTTTACTCCAGGGGTCTGGTCCTTTTTTTGTCTCTACTCTCTGAACTGTCCTGTCTAACAAAGGCAAACAACGTTCAAAAGAAAATTAAAAACAAAAAAACAAAAATAAAAAAAACATCTTAAATGCTAAGTAGCTTTTAAAGTTTAAAGATCTCTGTTACACATACTATACAACACAGAAATATACTTTAGGTTATTTTATACCTCTAGAGAATTAATAACCAGTGATTATCATTTATATGTCTTGACACCTGAAAAAGAAGTGAAATTGATCGCTGCTATTTCTGGACATGGGTGGTTAGATTAGATAATGAACATGCGACAGACACGTTGAAAACGCAGCATCAAACATAATAAATCAGACCACACACACGATGCCTTCCCCATCTCCAAACTCCAATTTAGTAATTTATTTTATTTCTGTATTTATTGGTAAATGGACTGGTTCTTATATATACCGCTTTTCTACTTGACTTTATACAATGTGTGTCGTTCACATGTTCACACACACCTTAATAAAAGCACTTTTTTCTATGTCTAAGTGCTTTCCAGCTAACATTATACACACACAGTCTGATTCCTGATGAAGGCATCAGGAGGAATTCTCTTCCCCTTTGGCACGAAGACTAGAGCAGCAACACCCAACCTTCTAATAAGAAGATGACCTGCTTTCAGTCACCCTTGGGCAAAGGGTACACAGTGTTTGAGGATCTGTGTTATCAGCACACCTGTTAAAGGCTACAGTTTTTGTTTATCACACCGTAACGTCGTGTTGAAAAATGTTATTGTGCATTTTCTCTTACATTGTGCAGTCTAATCGGCTGTGTGAAAAGCCTGCACACACGTGCATGCACACACAGTCGCTGGGGAATTGGCGGTAAGAGCAGAAATGCAAAATCCCCCTTCACGTTCACAGAGCAGCTCTGCCATTCAGCTAACTACATGCAAAATCTCCTCAGGGAAGGAAAATCTGGCTCTGCATCTGGCCACCAGATCCTTCGTTGCCACTCTCCCAAGGAATTCCTCCTTCCCACTTCGCCGCATAGGTCTTTTCCATGTCACATTCTGCCTTTTTTGAGACATGCGGTTGCCCTGATGACAGCAAAGTCTCTAATGGATAGTATGCAAAGCCTCAGCGAGCAGATCGGACATAAAATATCACAAGCCAAACAGGATGCAGGGAGTTATTCTGGTGCATAGACACAGCATTTCCCACTGACAAGAATCAAGACGCAGAATAACGGACATTTTCGATACTCTGTTCGCTCAGTCTCTCAAACTCCCCCCCCCCTCTCCAAAAAAAAAGTCCATCAAGAAACCATTTGATAAGAATCAAATGAAAAGGAGTGAATTCTGAATAGTAGCAGCTTTCTGACAAAGTGCTTTAAACACACTTTCATGAAAATTATTTCCTTCAAAGAAATGCAAATCCCGACTAATGACATGTGCCTGAATAGAAAAAAGCTCCAGCGGCAGCAAAACCACAGACGCCTGGTGCGCCCTATTGTGGCTGTAACAATGCGGCACTAGTATTCTATCAATTTTCACAGGACTGAAGATCAATTTTTCTGCTGTTTTAAAAGGTAACATAATAAACAGTGACAATACGGGGCTGTAAGCTGATCAAGTGTGTGCAGTACACGGGCCACTTTTCTTCCTACACTGAATAGCTATAATGTTATGCTAACAAAAGGTGGAAGACTGCACACTGGATTCCTGTTTGACAGCAGCAGAGACAAGTTGACATTCAGATTTATTCGAATGCACCGAGGAATCACTTTGAATGTCACTTTGCAGGCACTTTTTTGGACCCGCTCCACACTGACATGTAAAGTACACCACGGCGAAGCTGTGAAAATTAAAACCTCACCCTGTAGGGTCCGAACAGCCTCTTCTTCACCTCTAAGCGGTACTCTCTCGCTTTGTCTTCATCGCTCATGTCTGTCGCTCTGAGGCGTAGGATTTCATAAACTCGCCTGGCATGTTTCTGCAGACAATAAAAAACAAGATAATTATTTTCATTTAATTACTTTCAAAATAAATCATTACGCCTCAACAGGAGTCAAACACACTTCCCAGCTGAATGGCTACAGGAAGTCCTAAGCAGTTACGGGCAGGTTGTAAAAGAAAAAAAAACAGAAAAAACAAAAATATGATAGGATATGCAGCAGCATCAAAGAACAGAGAACTGAGTAGCATTTAGAGCAAAGGAACAAAATGAGTTGCTACTATGCTATATACTATACTAGTATAGGCAGTATTTATGTATTTTTGGGAGGTCATTTCTCAGTAAGTAAATAAAGCGTGCAAACTGATTTGCTAACATTTGCAACCGTGCACATATTTAACAGTGGAAAAGAAAAAAAGCATATCTCAGTTTTTGTATTTGATACTGAAATGAACTGCCTGCGTCTGTGTTTGGAGCCCTATTCAACATATTGAATATTTATCTGATACTGGACTGTGGCGCAGCCGCTTTTAAGCTCCTCCCTCTTTTTAACGCAACTGTCTTCGGATTTGCTTCCACTGGCAAATAGAAGGTTTGTGCATGTGTCTGAGGCTGCTGTGTTCCCACACAGATCTGAGAGTAGAGAAAACCCCCAGAAACGGAGCATTTAGTGCAGTCTGAAGTGATGACTTGTACAACGCTGACCACATTATTTTAATATTTTTCCCATCCATTATTGTAACAGTGCATATATGCCAGGAAACAGAGAATAGCAGGACTAAGGCACTAAACTCTGTGCTTTCAGAGACTTTTCCACACACCTCTGGTAACAACAAATAAAATCTTTTTGGATCTCTGCTCTAAAAAAAGTAATAAACATAACAAAGGTCATCAAACCTTTTCTTCCTCACTAATAAAACTCAATTTTGCAAACCTATCACAGCTGCACCCTCATACGGCACCTTGTTAATTTTCAGCTTGTCTTGCGCCTCTTTGATCATGTCAGCTGAGAAGCCGAGGTGCAGCTTGTCTACAGCGAAGGATGGCAGGCCCTGACAAAGCTTCACCAGCACGTAGTCTCTCAGCTTCACATAGTTCTCAGAGGGGTCTTCAGCTGTGAACAGACAAAAACCACAATAAGACTCAAATGAGCTGATGGTGTTAATCTCAGGATTTTTCAACACCCCTGACACAGATGGCCTGGTTCAATCCCAGTGTTAAGATAGAGGAGGAGTGAAAGAAACAACAATATACTTCACACCTTGGAACTTTTCAAAGTAGAAATATGGCAAAAAACCAGAGGAACTGTTAGCAGGAACCCTTCTTCCTATTCACTGCTAAACTTTTAAGTTCTGTCTTGAATAGGTTTTCATTCTGAAAAGAAAAGGCTGGGATGCCTCTTTAGTATTCACCCTCCATCTCCATGCAAAGCATCTATTTCGATCCAACTAGTTTCAATAGAGCACATTCTGGTATACGAGCCAGCCCTCCAAATTAACTCACCGTCTGGATCCACCAACTGCAGAGAAAAATCGTTTAAACTGTTCGTGGGTGATGCCTGGATCTTAGATTAAATGTTTATCCCACCTTCTTCAACATAGTAATTGCGTTTTAAGGGGGGGGGGGATAAATAAATAAAAATAAGTAAGATGCTCACCTGTGATGTCTTGCACTTTGGGCAAGCTGCAATAAAATCTGTGTACTGCCTCCAGAAGCTGAGCTCCGTGACCTTCTCCTTGGAACGGAGGCAGGATCAGCATTTGGCTGTTTAGTTAAAGGTCAGACACAGACACAAATATAAATGCCAAAAAAAGGAAAAGAAAACAAGAAGAAAACAGGTTTCTTCAGAATTTGTTGTTTTTCTCAGCAGGAGCAGATTCGCTTTGATTGAAAGCAGAAAATAATACACGGATCCATCAATGCAACAAATCAAATCAAATCAAAAGCTTATCTATAAAGTTGTTTTCAGATACAAATCACCCTGGTTTGGTACTGAAACAAAATCTGGTTGAATAGTTGGCTATATAAGCCAGTAATTTGGGCTCTTTGGGAAGAGGATAAAGAAATGTATAATTTTCCACTCCTTTCTCGTACAAAAGAATGGGAAGGCACGTGCTGCCCCGGCAATTACCTTACACGTGGTCGGGTTTTGTCTGGGTATACGTAGTAATTATAAACTGTCATGTAGCCAACAGTTGCGTAGAGAGTCTCCCCATCTTTATTGTACTTTTCAAATCTGCAGATAAAACACAAAGGAAAACAGGTCAATTACAGGCACACTCCCATGCAGTGTCCATTTTAGCCTCTCTGTTCCCGTGCCCACCCCTGACCCCCCTGACATCAGCACGTTGGAGCAGCCAGCGCCGCGATTGGTACACCTGCTGCAACCTGAATACATTATGCACTTAATTGGAGTACTGCAACTTAGAGGAAGAGAAGAGGTTGGAGGACGGACTGAGCTCCTCAAACTCACTTCAGCCCATTTTCCCCATTGTAACCATTAATAGGTGCCAGGGTAAAGAAAACACTGGCAGAGGCTCTTTTTACTGTTAAGACATTGTTCAGTATTTCAAAAGACAACAGTATTCAATTCAGCTCTTGCCCCTGAAAAATCTGAAAAGGCCTTCTGGCACAAAGGAAGCTCTTGCCTGATCAACAATTCTCCTACCGGGGGGAAATATAATCAAACTGGCATGGTAATTGGTCACAAGCGCCTCAAAGGGGGGCTTTGTTTTTCAATGACACAATAAAAGCTGCGGGCTAGAGCTCTGTGTGCGTGCGTGCGTGTGTGTGTGTGCGGGGGGTTGATGTCAATTAAGGAGGGCACTCACACAAGAAAGAAGTCCCAACGATCGTCGTCTGCGTCAATGAAACTGGCAGTCTCTATGAACCACATGAGGAAGGTCTGCAAGCGCTCGTGGTACTCCCGGAATCCCGGGCAGGTAACCTCAGCCTGTGGGGGCGAATGCAGCGAAAATAAGAGGGTTTAAATCTCATCTGCATCGCTGTGATGCAAAACTATCCTCCAGATGAAAAAGAAAGCTGATTTTAAAACCTAAAAGGCTTTGCGGGTTTGCTTTGATGACTTTTTTGGTCCCCCACCTTGTGAATCTGGTACGTGAGTTCTCCTGCCTCCTCGCTGTGGACCGTGTACGTGTGAAGCAGGGTGCCGAAGGGCTTGAAATTGGCCTCCTTCTCCAGCAGTGAGATGAAGTCATCGGTGTTGCAGGTGAACCCAGCAGGAATGATTTCCCGAATTTTCCCCTCGACGTCATCAGCCTGGAGAAAAAAAAAAACAACCCAAAAACAATAAAACACAAGGTGAACCCATTTAGCGATTCAACACCTAATCTCGCCTATCTCTGTATCTTTCCGGTATTTATACATATATGTATATATTGGCGCTAAACCAGAGTGGTGTCATTTATGTAGCTGAATACTCATGAAACTTCAGGAAAAAGTTGACGTCTACAAACACGTCGAGGGTTTCGAGTTTGATCCTAGGGGACTTTTCCGAGTGGTAATTTTTGCCGCTGAAAAAGAGTGCAATATATCCCGCAAACTCCAACCGGGAGCATACGTGTTTGGCGCCAATGAAAAGAAAACCATTAGGCAATTAAAACTGTCAGCTGAGCAGACCACAGCAGCACCCTCCTCCCTCCCGCCCCTCCACGATGAAAAGCCCACTTAAATCAGTACATTTACTACTTATGTTAAACCATGAATATGTGATGAAGTTGCCACAATAAACGCATTTCTGCTTCTCACTGGGAAATAAAATCTTATGAATTGATCTCAACTTAACAAACCTTTGGGCATCCATAATAGAGGCCTCTCCTCTAATCCTGCCAAGTGAACCCAATCAAATGAATTTGCCCCTGCGTTTTCAAAGAGCCTCCGAGACAAAGAGGTCCTACCCTTGGACTTTTTACTCAGTGCAACGTGTGGTTAGTTCAGCTGTAATGTTTGCATTGTATCCATTTCCACAAGGATTGACATGAGAACACTTTGCTAAGCAGCCCTTTCACACCATTTACATGTGTGATGGGCATTATTTCAGCACAGAGACCCTTGCTGCTCAGCATTGAAAACTGGGAAATGAAGAAGGTCTGAGCAAAATGCACTACAAAAGGCTAATACAACATACTGCTAATTCCCCCCTTTCAGACATCAGCTAATATCTAACTGGAAGTAATGCACCTGCAGCTGAATGCCTCTTAGCCATTGTAATTGTTCGGCCACATTTCTAGGGAACAAGGACCACACTTAAAAGGCCATGGACAAACAAGTCTCTTTGTGCTGGCCACTCTCTTACATACTAGACACTAAATTGCACAGCCTTCCAGAATAGATGCTTTAGTTTGGCATGAATATAACTTAATAATGTTCCTTTAGAACACTTTGTTAATGTCTTTGATTTCTAACAAGAAGCACAAAAGGAGCACAAACCACCTAATTTGTTGTGTCGGCATTATTCCATCTCTTTAATCCAATCCTGAGGCCGTGCCACGCTGAACATTTGCAGTCATTTTTCTGTTTACAGTCAAAGTGTTAGACATTAACGTGGATTATGAGGCTAATATAAAACTATTAGAGGTATTCAGCAATTTCCTATAGTTACCAGCCTGCGTGGAATAAACATCTGGTACTACATTTGTTTTTCTTCTGGGAAAAGTCCAGCAGTATGGCGGGTGGGGGGTGTGGGGGGGTTTGGACTGATTTAAAGGGGAGAAAGGTGAGTTTTGATCAGTCTTGTATCAGCGTGGCAGCTGCATCAACTCCATCTCAGCCTCCCCTCGTTTCTCACCAGCTGCACCGCACCCCGACCGTCCACACGCACTCAGAGACAAACACTCTTCAGATGCAGCCTGAACTCTGCTGCTCCCCTCGCACTCTGCCTCTACACCAGCTGCACTCAAACCCTTAACAAGGTGAACACTCAGGGGTCAACACCAAGTAGAGGCACACACACTGCCATCACATTTCACGTCTGAATATCGGCTTTAAAAAACAGGTAATGGCTGTCTTTTACCTTTAAAAAACGTAAATTGGTTGCCTTTTTTTGGGGGGGGGGGGATTTGCCTGAGAGGAAAGAAATCATGTCTGTATATTCCATATGAGGTTATTTATAATTTCACCGCATGCACAGACACACCAAACTAAGTTATAGCAGCACTTCCACTACCACCAGTTGAAGGCCACATTGTCCAGTAGAGAAGCCCCCCTGCTGCTTGCAGACAAGACAGATGTCCCCCAGTTGAATCATTTGACCTCAGTAGGGGCCCTTGCTAATTCTGGTATTCATTTTGCATGTTTGACAGCGTGAGGAAATATTCAAAGCTGCCAGTGGCCTTTTGTGAAGTCTCAGAGGAAGAAGAGAACCCAGGACAAGCATTTCGCTTTACTGTCCGCTTTTGTCCAAATACTGGCCGTTCATATGTAAATAACTCTGGCAATTAAAAAAAAAGGGAAAAAAGAAAGAAAGAAAAAGAAATGGCAGGAAACTTTACATACTAAGCAGACGAGAGTTAAAATTAACTATAAAGTCATCAGCAGCCGTCGTTAGATAAAACAAGCATCTCCTTTTTTGATACGTTTACACACATTCGGCCTCAAGGAGCTCAACTGTCAATAACTCGAGCAATAATTCACTCCTACAAATACGTGTACGATACATCCAACCGGGTCACATTACTCCCCCTGCTGATTCCATTACAGAAAGCTCTAAAAATCAATGCCTCGTGTTGGACCCCCGCTTATACAACCATTCTCTTCAGAGGGAGGAGTGGGATTAGCGCAGACACACAGGGGACCGTGGTGTGATGAGATTTAGTCTAACAAAACAGGAGATCTCTAACTGGAATAATGTCACGCTCTCCCCTCCGGGAGAGGCTGCGAGGGCCCTCCGTTAAAGCGCCTTAGGTTTATCTGCTTCCCTTAAAGTGTAATCGATCGCACAATTAGGGAGGAAACGCCTCAGGGAAGCTGCCTCGTGTTGGTCTATGAAAATTACAGCCTGATTTGTTAAAAAGTTCAGATTAATAAGGACATCTTTTGTGCCATACTTTGATATGTTGAGCTGTTTTTTTGATATGTTTTGACAAATAAAATAAAATCCTGTTCCATTTACGCTTTTCCCGTCACCTGCTGTTAGTTCAAAACACACAAATTATACGTGACACGGGGTATCGAATCTAACATTTGTGAAACTACTGTCAAAAATACAATACATGTCTCCCCCCCCCTCTCAGATTAACAGAAATGCGTCGTAGGCGCTTCAGATCTTTTACACAGTTTTCTACTGTTTACCAAAGTGGATTCAGAGAGGAGCTGAGTTGACTTGTTTGTTTACAGAGGAAATTTAGGAGTCTTTTAAGACTCTTGTAAGACAGCTTTAAATTTAAGACCATGTGTGATGGAAGCAGGCATCACAAATTAAACTAGAATCTAAACACAGTAAGGTGAAATCAAAGTTAACTTCGAGACGAAGTTTCAGTTTCAGCTATTTGTTTTTGCTATTTCAAAAAACGATAAACTTGTATGAATAAACTGCGAATGTGTATCCTTTTCATAAATTGAACTGAAAGAATCAGTTTGAATTTGATGACGTCATCTAGTTTTGTTCAAATAAAAATACAGTTGTTGTTCGACACGATGTCCCTGTTTTTCCGTGTGTCACACACACCTTCGCCCCCTTGGTACACATTTCCAAACATTGTTTTTAACCACAAAGAGTAATCGCTATTCTCAAATCACTTGTCACTAAACTTGAAATTTTTTTCCATTTCTATAAACTAAAGGGCAGGCTGGCTAGCAACACCTTCCTCTTTATCATTATCAGAGTTTCCATCAGTGGACTGCAAGCCTAGCTGGTCATAAAGTGACCCAGTGAAAGCCTAACGCACAGAGGCTTTTTCTTTTATTTCTTTTTACATTTTTTTTGCATAAAATGTAACTAATGCGTCTTATCAGGTAACTGTTACTGTTAAAGGACAGATCAAACTGTCCTTTCAGGCTGTAAGCAGTTTTGTGCCACACCCACCCAACATGCTAAAGTGTGATTACCGCGTTAGCGTGTTCACGTCCACCCAAACGAACCGGACCGATTCAAACGGTATACAGTGTTAATTTTAACAGCAAACTTTGATTTTGTTTTAGTCAAATTTTAGTCACCTAAGCTGTTCTACTTTTAGTCTCGATTTAGTTGAGTGTAAGATTATAGCGGACTAAATCAACAACAATTGAGCCACATGGTTTATGAAGATTCTTATTGTAGGTGACATCAAATGCAAAACATTTCCATATGTCTACTCTCCTCCTCCCGGGTGTTGATATTGTGTCGTGCTTCCATAAAACAGGGAGCATGGGATGTAGCAGTACCCACCCTGTTTGTGTGGGGGAAATCAAATGTGCACATCAAACCTTACTGCACAAGATTACTTCTACTCAAAGTGTTTTTGTTGAGCGATTGTGTATACAGTTTACAAAAAGGAAAAAGAATGGAAACGCAAAAACTGGTTACATTGAATACAGAGCAGAACTTCTCACGTTAGAGCATAGGCAAAAGAAAAGTTAACAAAACACCACAACCCGGAAGGGGTGATTGATACTAACAAGACCTTTCATTACAAACCACACAGAAGTTAGCTGCAACATCACTGAGCTTCACATTCCCATTAACACAGACACACATCAGACCTCTACGGAATAAGCAAATCTGTTAGTCAGCAGGAACATCCTTAAATTGAAGGTTAGAGAAGTTTGACAGAAAAAGACCCCAGATTTTATCATATGTGCCCTTTTGGTTCTGGATGGAGCAGTGGATCTTTTCAAGACTGAGACACGACATAAGATCAGCAAGCCACTGAACATGGGTGGGCGGGGCAGTGGCCTTCCACCTCATCAAAATGGCACACCTAGCCAGGAGGGAACCAAAGGACAGCACCCGAAATTGTGCGCCAGCAATATACTTATCACAAAAGAGAGCAAGTAGGGGGTTGAGAGCCAGTTTCAGACCAGTAGCCTTGTTCAAAGTTTAGAAAACGGGTAAGATTGGCAAGATTACTTCTGATTGGATCAATTCCAAACTTGTCCTGCCTTTCCACACAATTCAATTAGTTGTGATTGGACCTTGTCTCTCCTGAACATTTCCACCTTGCTTTTAATTCAGTGACAAAAGTGTGTGTGTGTGTGTGTGTGTGTGTGTGTGTGTGTGTGTGTGTGTGTGTGTGTGTGTGTGTGTGTGTGTGAGAGAGAGAGAAAGACATTTATCACCTCCGCACTAGACTTTCATTAGCTCAGTCGGCTTGTTTGTACACTTGAGCTGGATTAAGCTGAACATAGCGTTTGGTACCCCCCCCCCAAAGTTTTGGATCAGTACACTGAGCTGACTTGATTTGGACATTAAAAACATCTCTGGCTAATTGTTACTAGATGTTGTGGCATGTTTGTTTACAGTGCTGTGTATTACATCGGTATGACTGGACTCCACTCACACAGTTGTACCAGACAAGCATATTCTTACGCAGACACAGGGTAACACGAGTTTCTCACTGATTATCTACCACCTGTTGAATGAAATTCAAACTTTTAGCAGCTGGTATTTAGCATGTAGAAACTTTGTAACAAAAAAAATTTATTAAATAAAGCAAGACTGTGTTGATGCAGGCGTCATGACTCAACAACACTTACACAATAAATGACTAAGTGAAAAATCCACTCTCGGGCTAGACTGTGTTTTACATAATTATTAAAAGCACAATAGAGCAGTTTTTGGAAAGAAAAACACTACTTTTCAGCAGGAGGCAAAGTTTTGTCATCTTTTCTTCATATTCAAGTATTATTTTTATGTTTATGTCTATACTGGCGGCCTCTGATTGTGATAAACAGTGAGCAGAACACGGGTATCTATTGTCTATTGTCCCCACGATAACACAACAAAGAGGCTGATGCAAGTATGATAAAAGAACGGCATAAAGAAATGACTTACCTCCACACAGTCGAACGTCTCTGTGACTTTTGAGGTATATTTCACTTTGAAGAGGGTACTCAGGTTCCCCGCGGCGTAGAAGAGCTGAATCTGAAGACCTTTGTAGCCAAAAGCAACCTCACTGCACAGAAAGTGACTGAAATTACTAAAAATCCAAACAAGATTACAAAAAGTCGGGCAGTGATTTGTAAAAAGGACTGCTTTGTGTAATGTTCAGAGGGACAATAACGAACATCAATTATTCCCATTACATAAAAACAAATATACACCTGGAGTTTATAATAAATGCTTATCACAGGTCACTTATTTCGCTGTGCTGCATTGTTTCGTTCATCGTTATATCACTGGCAGTTTATGACAAAATAGATTCATCATTATGCAACTGTGATTAAGGTTTACTAGCAATTACGCTTGCCGAAATAATTAATGCCCCAATTACAGAGTTCCCTTTGAGCTGATTGCAGCAAGTGCAAAAATAACCAATCCTAGTTTTGACTAATTTGGAAATGCAATTTAGAAACGTTAACGACGTGCTACTGTAAGTCTATGCGCCGACACAGGTGTCACTGCCAATAATGCAGTGTTGCTCCGGTTCAGTGCCTCTTTTGTGCATCACATTACAGTAATTTCGCAGCTCTACAATAACATGCAAGACCAATTATCATTTATGTTCGCACATTATGTTCCTTTCTGTGAATCCGACACTGGAAACATCACTGTGTGCTGTCCATCAGGAAGAATCACATAAAAAGATCACGTATATTATTTTTAAAACTTTCTGTCAGTGACGCAACAGCAAAGTTTTCTGCTAGTCATTAATAAAATCAGTTAACTGACTAAAACTAGGGGGGGTGGGGATGTGTTACCTTAAAATGCAAGTAAAAATCCTTAATCAAACCACTGGTGTGGGCAGTTTAAATGTGGAGTAACTCATGCACTCCAGGGGCCACTTATCAGACCGAATCACACTTCATAAACCCTGACAGGGGCAAAGAAAATGTGCAAGGCTCAGGACCTTTACTATTACAACTGTATGGAGACACATTTGAGTCTTATAATGAAGATGCCAGAGGCTTTAAAATAAATTAGCCTATCAACATTACTAATAGGTGAAAATGATTCAAATCTTTAGCTATGTGACGATTCTGCAGTGGGCTATTTATGATTAATTGGTACTTCATTTTTGCATTGTCATAACATTTAACATCACTAATAGCATGCTTTGTTGCATTTCTGAAATGACTGAACTATTTATCATTCTTATTATCAACAAAGGAGAACCACTGTGACGTGGATGTATATACAGGCTGACTTTGAATTGGCATGTCCATAAAAATACGCAGGGCCCTCTGAGTCTTGCAGTGTTTTTGCAAATTAATCATCATAAAAGTAGCCCACTTTGATATTGATTAATACATACAGCATGTAAGACTGGATGTCTGGTAAAGTTTACTGCCACTTTTATGGCTCAGTCTTTTAAAGTATATATGGAAAGAGGTATATTTTAGTGCAGCATGTGAAGTCTGATGCTCCGAAACTTATCACCATCTGTGAAATGCCTTAGTCCAATAACATCCCCTGAGCTGCTGTCAAACTAGCAGCAGTAGTGAAGTTGTAGATCAGATCCATTTCTTCTGCAACAGAACCACTCGCACAACCATGAACAAGCAGATGGATGGATCCAGTTCTTAACACTGGTTTTGCTCTGCTGTACTTCTGAAACTGTTCCCTTTCCTGAATTTTGGATGTAGACAGTCATGATGTAGACACTGATCCTAATGTTTAGCAGGGTTATAAACTTGCAACTTTGTTATCTGGTGTTTTGCTGCCTCTCTGCAACAATGTCCTGGATTCAGACCCACTACTGGTTGAGGCCTGTCTGTGTGGATTTTGTGTATTCTCCCTCTGCTTGCACGGGTTTCCTCAGGCACACCAGCTTCTTCCATAAGTGCTGGGTTAACTAGCAAATAAAAAATGCCCATTGGTGTGAATACAAGCTTTAATTGTTTTCTGTCATTATGCTTTGTGATTGATTGGTGGCTTGTCCCAGACGAACAATGTCTCTCAACTACCACGAGCTGTGATTTGCTTTAGGCCACCCCTGTGTTTGCTTCCAGTCAAACTAAGAGACAAGCGTGCGATATGACTCTTGTAAAAATATTTACTTTGAAAAATGGTTAAAAGGCAAAGTTATTATGACTTCTAGAAGCACAACATCAAAGTGTGTCAGTTTTAAATAAACTGGGATAAAGTTTTAGTAGATCTAATCTCGCCGCAGCTTGCAGAGCTTTGAACAAATCAATTCTAGGGAGGCAGCCAGTTTACACTGCTCAAAAAATATTATAGGAACACTTAATCACAGTATAACACAAACTCTGTTAAACTTCGGGGAGACTGATCTGTGCAGTTATGAAGCAGAAATGATTGTGACTCCATTTCACCTAAATCAGTGCAAGCTGAAGGGACTGGAGAGGCAACAAGAAGACAACCCCCAAAAAGGGAAATGGTTTTCCAGGTGGTGGCCACAAAACCGCCACTCTTTTCTAAGCCAACCTGTTCGATTTATCTCTAGTTTTGCTTTTTCCTGGTGTCCTTGTCACTACTGGTAGCATGAGATGGTACCGGCATTCCATTCATGTTGCAGAAGCAGTTCAACTTCACCAGGATGGCACATCCATGCATAAGTGGAGGAGACAGGCTGCTACAAGAGCAGAGCTGGTACGGGCTGTAGAAGAGACTGTTATCTGCTCCTTTGCATGCAGCAGAACAAAGTGTCAGAATCTGGGACGGTGACAAGACGTCCTAACGTTCTTTGGTAGGACCTGTGCTCACAGTCCAGCGCTGCGCAGCATTAGCAAGAGAACACCAGAAATCACTGATCATATGTAGCACAGTATCTGAATTTTGGACTCCCTAAAAAAAACTTGTATCATCATCATCAGCTTCAGAGCTCCAGCATCATGCTTATTATACATCTAAAAATTTGCTGATTTCTTGCAGACTCTGTGTCAGAGATCAACCAGCCACCATTCAGCTCAAACAGCAGTAAACAGTTACAAGCCATTATATCACCAATAACTTCTGTGAAAGAATTACTTGTTCAAAAGATGTTGAAGGTGAGTTTAATTTGGGTGCTGTTATTAAATGAACTTGCTGGCCTAAAATCATCCATAATTTCCTCCTCATATTACTGCATTTGCAAGATTAATCTCCAAATTCATGCCACTTATAATTATTGCTTAAATCACAAAATGTAAACAGACAGTAACCACTACCAGTCAGCTCATGTCTTGACTGTTTACTGCGTCTTAATTAAAGATTCATGAATATGTTTTCTTAAGGAGGCCAATTACTGTTAATGTCTTCAATACATCTTTATAAAGTCAACGCAGGAACCCAAAAGGAACGCTAGACTTTATAGCTAAAGAAAGACAAGCTAAGGGAAATGTATAGTGAAAAACTACATTTATAGTCACACTGCTACAAGTATTGAGCCCTGTAGTTTTATTTTACTAAACTGTAAACTGACATAACACCTGAGTGATAAGAGGGCCTGAGAGCTGGATTTGAACAGACTTGGTAACTACCATTAAGGTGTCTGTCTAATTTTGTTTTTATGCATAGAAAAAACTGCAATTTTTAAACCTGATAACATTATGTTTGTATCATTATAAATACTCACTCGTCTCCAAAGACTTGGTGGCTGTACTCGGGGTGGAATGTGGTGCTGTCGTCGTCAACATCCTCTGGAAAGCGAACTGAGTGAAGGGGAAAAAAACATGTTCAATTAAAGTGTGAAATTAGGAAAACGTACCACAAAATGTTGGAAATGTATACACGCAATTATTCATTAACACAACATGGGAAATGAAGAAAAAACAAAACCTACCCAGCTTCAAGGATATAGCTTCATTGGTGTCACACTTGTACTCAGCCAGTTTCTTTTCCATGGTGTTTACATCTGGGGCAACACAGAGGAAACAAAGTATGTTAACAATTGTTCCATTTCACCCTGAGAATACAGCTGATCATCTGACTCCACCTCATCATATCACACCAACTCTGTCACACAAATCCACTGCATGTCCTCCTTCAGTACATCCATCAATCTACTTTGAGGTCTTCCTCTTTATCTCCTTGCCAGGCAGCTCCATCTTCAACATCCTTTGTCCAATGTATCTACTATCCCGCCTCTGCACATGTCCAAACCATCTCAGCCTCTCCAACTTCCTCCTGCCACAATCACCCCAAACACTCATCTCCACCTCTCTCGTACAATCTCTTCCTTCACGGAGTTCATCGCAAGTATTTAAACATCCACCTTCATGACCTCCACTCCTTCCAATCCATCTAACTCTTATTCACGTACACACACACGTATTCTGATTTGCTTCCACTGACTTTCATTCCTCTTTTCTCCACAGAACACCTCCAGCCTCTCCTCCACCTGCTCCCTACTCTCACTATGGATCATAATGTCATCTGCAAACATCATAGTCAGCAGGGACTTCTGCCTGTCCTAATTTCTCAACCTGTGGGTCACTACTGCAAACAGAGTTTGCTCAGTTTATCAAGAGGGAAATAAAAAGTGACAGGTTTTAGCTCCTCGCCACTTTCCACAAGGGCCACTGATGTGTAATAATGTAGTAAATTTAAATTTCATTATTACTTTTGCAGTTACAATAATGTCTAGTCGGCAGAATGAGGCTGGCCATTAGAGAGCCACTGCTCCAGCTTATGACTGATGATGTGAACAACCTCACCTGCCACCAAGAACCCTATTGTTGCAAACATCAACAGCTCTTTTAAACTCTGCCTCAAGCCCGACTTATACCTAACTGGACTATAGCTGTGCAACCCATGGACAAACAGAGATTTACCACGATGTAAAACTGTAGATCCTGTGCTCTGACCGGATGAGCTACTAGTGTGGTCCTATCAAATAAGCATGCCAGCCTCTTAGTTCAAAATATGTGTCAAGATGTTACATAAAGGCACGCAAACAGAATATAAACACTTGGTCAGCCACTCCACGTTACATAAAACGGTCTAAACTAACATTACATGCGCATCATCCCTCTATTCAAAGCCTATATTCAACCTGAAATCAAAGCCTTACAGAAGCATACAAACATTATCAGCTTGATAACGGGGTGCTAACGTTAGCAAACAGGCCAGCTGCTGCCTCCGAAATCTAACGTTGTGTTTTCGAAGACATCGCGAGCTGGTTTACAACTCCAGCGAGCTTAAAGCAGCACTGAAGTCCACCTGACAGTGAACAGCATTAAAACAAAGACAAGGAAACCCAACCTTAAAACGCTTAGCGACCTTACCCGCCATTTCTGCACACTGTGTTGTACGTAGCAGTGTTGTCCCAAAAGACCCGCGGAATTAGTAGGACTTCCGGGTCCGCGTGTTTCCGTGACAACAGGATGTGGATTTTTTTTTTTTATTTTTTTTTTTAGTAAAGTGTAAAAGAAATTAAAGCATTTAAAGTTTTTCTTTCACAAAATATCAACAATGTATTATAAGTTATTACAAGATTTAAAACAGAATATCTAAAAACAGTATTAAACTAAAAGTTTAAAAAGTGACGATTACGTCGTTACACGCCAAATAAAAAGCAAAACACTGAACTGAGATACGTTCATCGTTTCATCAAAGTGATTATCTGTTTTTTCTTTTTTTCTTAAAGGAACACTTTTCTGTTTTTTAGCTATTAACATGCTACCCCGTATTGTAATTTCTCATAGCCCTTTTTTTCATAAACACTTGATGAACTTGATCAACAAGTGTGTCCATCCCTATAAAAAATAGAACTTTTGGCATTTTGCTGGACTGGAGCATTCATGTGTGTGTTAACTCATTTCCCAGGAGTTGACATTCTATTAAATTCAAACCAATTTCAGGCTTTGCAATGCTCAGGAAAACTGCAGAAAACCCAAGAGTTCCATCTCAGACTGTACAGGCCTCAGATAGTGTGTAAAATGTTAAACATAAGATATTTGGCCATAATGCACAGCACCCCATTTGGCTAAAACTAAACACACATGATATACACATATTTACCTTTACCAGAAAATTATCGCTTATGTAGCTGTTTCTACAAGCTATTGTATAATGGGGGTATTCTTTTCTTTTTCACATGATTGTACCTTAGAAAAATGCAGGACAAATACAAATGATAAGTAGTTATGTCACATATCTTTAAAATTTAGCAAATAATGATAATGAATGAAGGTAGCCTAACTTTATTATCACTAACTCCAATTATTTAAGTATGATATTAAAGCTGCATTACTCTAAGAGGCAAAGATATGATACTAATATTATTAAAATGACAAGAATGAGGTTTATTGACCAGACAGTTTTGACTTTCATCTATACAATTTCCCACTCAGATCAGTCACAAATCTTAATACTGAAATTTAAGTGGTTCAGGTGTGTTATGTGATGACATATAAACAAAATTAGATGTTGATGTTTCAACATCTAAATATCTATCTAAATGTATTATGACTAAGAAAAACCCCCAAAAGAAAGTATTATCAGAGTTATACTTGTCATGTGAAATAAGAGTAAAATCCAGTGGACTTAAACACCCAGTTAAAGGCATTTTTTATTGAGTCAAGGCAATAATGTGTTTAACTTAAATGTGTATTTTCACATTTTCTTTCTTCTTCAAAAAATAAAAAAAAATCCAGTAAAATGAAAGCCCGAGGGGAAATCATCCCACACCACATGCACAGCTGATTACTGTCATACAAATGTGGGGAAAACAGCACATTTTGGATAAAAGTCCAACATATTTGGACAGTGAAGTTGGTGAGAATAAAGAAAGTGGTTAGGTTAGACTACTGTGATATCTCAATGAAATAAACAGAAATTTACTCTCTAGGGGAAAGTGCAATTTTGAACATCCCTCTGAGCCCAGGTAATGTTGTGCTATCATCCCAGCCTAAGCTATTCTGTCCTGCAGGTGCACCAATGAATGACCTACCCAGTCATGTTTAAGCCACTGTAATTTTACCTCTACCACACTATCAGCACTAGATTATCCTTTTCCTGAACAATACTATACCTTTTACAATCCTTAGGTAACAAATTGTGTCTGCATGGAGGCAATGCATGCTGCTTGATCTCTGAACCTCAAACTACAGTCATTTGGACTTTTTCCCCCCTTTTTTTGGAGAAGTCCTCGCTGTGGAGGAAGTTAGGAAATATAACATTGCAGTATTAAAAAGGTTTTGTGCAGGAATTCCTCTTGTAGACATTTACTACCGTATTCAATAGTTTGCATTTGAATTGGCTGCGTTAGTGGCGTGGCAGTGGTTAGCAAAAGTAGCTCAGATAATAAAATGATATGGCCAAGCTGTACGGTTATTAGTTTGAACCCTGGCATTTATTGATATGTTATAACTATGATTAAGCACAAAATAATAGGAACACTGACTAAACTATGTTAACTTATATCAGATAATACTCAGAGACTTGGGTGCGACCTACACTCGTCAGTAGTTTTCCTCTGTTCTAACACTGCTCTTCAGTTTATGGATGGTCTGGACATGCCTGGGCTTCACCTGCAGGTGGGGTCTCCTGTGCCTGCTGTATCAGACTCATCATCTAACTGAATTTAAGAACCAGCTCCAGTATTCCATCTCTGCCAAATTGCTGTTTATTGTAGAGTGGTAATCAGGCTCCTTCGTGGTTTTAGTGCCCCGCTGAGTTTACGCAGTGATTACATCCTTACTGTCTTGTTTTCCAGTCGTTCTTGTACAACTTAAAAGCACAGTCCCTCCAAGATACACTTACCTGTTTCCACAAAACTGGTCTATTTCATCTGGAAGATTCTGGCCAAACACTCACCTCTCTGACTCGCCTGCTTGTTCGCCCTCCAGTGGTGCTGGACTCCCACAGAAACCTGACCAGTAGCTCCCCCTTTGTGTTCTCCTTCCTTCTTCCAAGTAAGAATACTGATCTGCACTATTAAGCAATCGATGACTCACATTGTGGCCTGGACTAATTCTCTCTCCAGTCCCACCAATCCCCTACACGTTTCACTTGTCACTCCTAATTAAATGCAAATAAAACTGTAGAACTATAAACTGTCAAGTCTCAGGTTCTGCTTCAGGGACTGCAAACTGCCATTGCCTTTCAAGGCCATGACATTTGGATAAAATAATGCATCAGTAACTGAAGGGAAATGTTGCATTTAACTGCATTTCCCTGTTGCACACGGAAATCCACCAGTCCTTTATGTGGAAAAAACTTTTTCAAAACTAAATAAACCTTATCATAGACCTTAAAACCAGAAAAACAAGACGCTGAAAGAAAAGGGCTTCTTGTGTATGTATAGGTTCTCAGTCAACCTGGTTGTGGTAGTCTCAGGTCCTTCCAAGCCTCAAGCACCAGGACTGACACATTATCATTATGAAATGGATAAATACATTCAAATTAAAGGGATCAGTTAAAGTAGTACCAATGGAAGACCATGGAGAAGGTTTATGGATGTAGTAAAGGAGGACGTGTAGAGGGTTGGTGTGATAGATGATCAGATTACCTGTTTTGGTGACCCCTAAGGGAGCCATCCAGAAGAAGAATTATAACAGCATCACAAGAAAGATAAAGACACACAATTACAGCTAAAGACTGCACTTTAAAAAATCACTGTTATACTGAGTAACATTATAGAAAAACAAAACCTTGTCAACCTATAAACCTGTGAAGAACCACCTTTCTGAACCCCCATTTTTGTCTGATTCCAAGTCGAGTCCAAAGCAGGACCTCAAACCCAACTATAGCTACCAGCTCTCTTATCTGTGAGGGAGCTGGAGGAGGCAGCCTAACCAGAGCTGCTAAAATGATTCATGTTACAGTGAAACATGTTTGCCAGATGTTTTACCCTGAGAGTCCCAATGAGCTAGGCTATACGCAACTGTTGGCCGACCATCGATGACAGTTCAGGATGTATTAAATGTTGTTGGAACTGAAGAAGAATCAACAATAAGTGAAATGTGGTTTTATTCGTTTCTGCTGGTGACTTTTGATGTGGTTCCACCAATATCTCCTCACCCCCAGGCAGATGGCTGCCCATCCCTGAACCTTGTTTTGCCAGATGTTTCTTCCTGTTAAATCCTTCCCACTGTCATTTAATTCAAGTTCACAGGCAATCATGTCATTGTTGGAGTTTTCTCTCTAATACGACAGGGTCTTTATTTTACAGCGTAATATGCCTTGAGTATGGCTTGTTTGGAAGGGTTGGTGGGTTTTCCCAAAAAAGAACATGCCAGCACAGCTTAGGTTTGGAAAGCTGCATCTGAAAAACTTCTGGTAAAATGTCTTTTGGACAGACAAGACCAAAGACAAGATGTTAATAATGCAGAGCACCATGTTTGTCACAAACCAAACATAGCCTACTGACACCTCGTACTGTCAAGCACAATGGAGGAGTGACGATTTGGGCTTATTTTGCAGCCAGAGGACCTATAGAGCAGTCACTGAGACCACCTATGTGCACTAAAGTATTCTAGAGTCAAAGGCGAGGCTACGTGTTTGGCTGGTAAAGCTCGGACAAAACTGGATCATCCACCAGGACAACGATCCAATGGTCAAAGTAGAAAATTTACAACAGAATGACTGAAAAAGAGTCATAGTGCTGCAATGGCCCAGATACCAGATCCCAACCTGACTGAAAAGCTGTGGTGGGATCTAAGAGAGCTGTGCATAAAAACAGTGAACTGAAGCAATGTTCTTCAGTGATGTGAGAGACTGATAAGGATACATTTACTTAAATGTAAGTCCTGGCTTTGAATGTGTTTTATGTCCTGACATATAAAACCTTAGAATTGACGTGGGGTGTAATTTTTATTTATTTTTTATTTATTTTACCATGGCTACACACAAATATGATAGTTGATGTCTGAAACTGTATTTTTACGTGGAGGTTTTAAGCATATATGATCACTTTCGCCAAAATGATTCTCTCTCTTTATTTTATATTATCCTAAACCGAGTAGACTATTATTAGAATATGAACTGTGGAAAATTCTTTTGGGCATTTTTCATTTCACGATATGATTTCTTCCAATAATTAAAAAAAATAACGTATTTTTTTTAAATTAAGATATTCTCTCCCGGTTTAGAGACTTTATCCACATTTTTTCTTTACACCTCTCTGTCCTGCTGTTTGTTATGAGCAGGGCTACCACACAGTACAGCGTGTCCTCACTTGACCCCGTGCAGACCGGAAATGCTGTAACACATCTGCTGACCAAGTGTCTCTGTCCGGAGCGTCCATCTCAGCTGCGCCTTGTTCACAGCAAGGACAACAATCTGGCTAAAAATAGTGCCCTGTCTCGGACCTCCGCTGTCATCCCGATGCCCAGCGCCTGCGCTAGTCCACTGCGGCTGACGTCACATCCAGCATGGCGGTCAAGGTGACTCCGTCAATATTTCTTATCAGATAATAATTTTTAAAGGCAATAAAACGGCCGCGAGCTTTGCGCTGTCGGATGCCGAGGACGGCTCGTCTGCGCGGACGCTTGGGTTCAAATCCTCAGTCTGAAACGCAGCGGTGTCCTCCCCCCCCTTTTATTTAGCTCTGCATCTTTACACAGGCGCATCTCTCCCGGCCTCGCAGAGACAGCTGTAATTTCTTTTTCTCTGCTGCTTTTTTCTGATTCTGGGAGATTTGATGGGATTTTGCTGTCTGAAAGGATCGCAGCACGGCTACTTCCATATGCAGTGCCAGGCTGCTGCTGTTAGTAGCCTGCGATCGATGCGTAAAAAGGGGGGGAAATGTGACAGACTGAACTTCAGCTTTATTGATGGTAGAGTTGCCTGCTGGAGCTCCAAAAACTACAGGCATCAACGTGGTATGGTCAGTTTTTCAACTGCTTTTCATAACAAATTCCAACTTGTGTGTTACAGGTGCAAGCAACCAAAAGGGCAGACCCCCAAGACTTGAAGACTGTTTTTCTGAAGGTAAGGCTTGCTCCAGGATTAAAACTGTTTCTAATAATAACTCATATGAAATCAAACAAATACATTAAAAAGCCTACTGGTGCAGTGAGTGAGTAGTTTGTGTGGCGTCCACAGGGACACGTAGCTCTGTAAAGGTCACATAAATACTCTGACTAATTATGGATCAGCTACTACAGAGATTCGTCCTTGGCTTTAACTTTCTGCATGTGCAGAGTGTGTGTGCTTTTTATTTTATTTTTTTATCTTTAAAACTTAAAGAATTCCTCTTCGTTTTTCCGAGACAACCAATTCCCAGCATTAGGGTGTTAGTTTGTTTACCCCCAACAGGTCTTGTTTGGAGTGTCAACTTCTTAAGTCACCTTATGGTCCCTGAACATCTCTTCACTCTGCTAGAACAGGGCTGTGTAATTTGTGTTGCATATTCAGGTGGAAGAGTTAATTAGTGGAAGCTCATTCTGACTGCCTGTATAATTTGATTAAGAACTACTTGAGGCCTACTGCGCGGGTGAATAGATACACAATCATGTGATGGAGAAATGTGGCAATAAATTGCTCGGAATTAATATTTTCACTTAAAAAGATTAATTCAGCAGACTGCGTTGAATTGTCCTGAAAACACTTGGCGTGGGGGTCTCCTCCCACACTCTCAGCTGGGTTCATGTCGTACTCTCTCTGTCTGAGCTTGGCTCGGGCCCATGAGTGTGGCCTTTCTGTTGCCAGTTCATGTGGTGCTTGTGTTCCCAGAGCTATCTCTGCTCCAACTTGAAAACCAACCCGGGCTCTAAAAATGACCTTATGTCTTAGAGCGTGACCCAGATCTCACGTTCAGCACGGCACTGTATTGCATGCTTTGCGTCAGCAGAGTGGAGTAAAACACATTTGCAACACAAGGCTCTGTTATATGCATTTTATTAACTGCAAGTAGATTTGGAGGTTAGAATTGCATATCATGAAACAGCAAGGATTTACACCACTTAATTTTTTTTATTTTTAAAATGTTGGACAATTTTTCAATCTTTGCCGCTATAGGTTCTTGGCAGTCATCATTCCTAGAGTTTCAATCTGCATGTCAGGTGGAAGCTCTGGAATTTCTATGGAGCGTCCGAGTTGTCGTTTCTCTGGAGAAAGTTGGTGAGAGGCACTGTTGCATGGAGAGGATACTGATGGAAAGATGAGGTTCACTTTGGTTTTGGAGTAATACAGGCTATGCATCACCTTGTACTAAATCAAACTACCATGTGGTGTTGGAACACCTACGAATAAGGGATATTGCTTCTTCCCAAAACTCTGTTAACAAACTGCTGCCCAAACTTGGACATTAAGTGTGTCTAATTTAAAGGTAATGAAAAAATAATGTAAATTTGGAAGGATGCAAACTGTCAGAGTTGCCGTATCTTTTGCTCTCCAGGCTGAACATGCCCTATTCAGCTGACTAGGTTTAAAAGGATGGTTATGCCATACTGGGGCATGTAAGGAGATACTAGAAGCCTTGTAGGCTACTTTTGTCTGAGTTGGTATTTGTGGGGACTTTAAACATAACGTTTTGTTGAGCTAATTTGTCTCTGACTGCAAAACTGAAGAACAACAGATAGGAAAGGGGTATCTTTTTAACAGCTGAGGTCTCACGGAGTACCCACAGTGGGACATATCTTTATTACTTCCAACAAGCAAGGCCTCTTACGTTGGCTGCCCAGTAGTATTACCTCGAGACCGGAATACCAAAGCAACCGTCCTCATTAGACTTGTGTTTAGCCCTGTAACACCATATACCCCCAAAACACATAGCATCCATAGATGTTCACGCTCAAATAAATCTCTACATAGTATACTGTGGCACAGCACGTTTCACACCACTGTACAGGATAAAACAACATAGAACATCATAGAAAAATGTATCCTGCTAACTTAAGACTTTGGATAAGCGGGCCTGTTCAAGTCCCTCACTGGTGAGATGAGTGAAACAAACATTTTCCCATCCCTGAGGAGCCCCTGAGAAAGGCCTTGAACCTCTCACACGGAGGCCACTGGAGCTGCTCAGCGGCCAGCAGATTGTACTGCAGCTTCCAGGTTTGAATGTGTGCAAGTGTGTGAGTGGGAACAGGGTGTTCCTGAAAAAGAGAGGGGCTGTCAGCAGCGTTGCTCTGAATGAGTAAGGGGTAAATCATTGTAATACAGTGTTCCTCTCACACAATAACACTTCTTTTTTTCTTTTTCTTTTTTTTTCTTTGCAATTTCAGTGGCACGGCATGCATCATTGTCTGTTATGTGTGTAGCAACATGTCTTTTGTACGAGAATGAGATTCATGGTTAGAATGAAGTCAAGAGATGACAAAGCTCAGAGATGCTTTTTCAATGCTGCCTGTCATTATGGCAAAGCTTTATATATATGCTTAAAATGCTCTATAGGGCCGATAAACTTAGATTCCTTTATGCTGTTACAGGAAGCGGGATGCATCGTATTGTTACAGAGACAAGGGATATGTCCACATCTTCCTCTTTTTATGCACACAGTAAAATTTCAGCCTTACTGGTTCTCCGATTAAATGCACATATGGATCCACACTGAGTCTTGTTTATAGCTTGTCTGTTTCTTCTTTGCAGTATGCCAACGTGGTGCAGGATGGAGAGCATTACATGACCCCCAAGGACTTTGTGCAGCATTACCTGGGTCTGCATACACAGCCTCAACACAATCCCAAAACTGTGGAGCTGATAGCCGGAGTGGCTGACACCACCAAGGATGGGTGAGTAAGAACAAGTCGTGCGATGAAGGTTGCCATGAAGAGTTTGTTATGCTTAGATCTTTTATCTTTTGTTTTTGTTTTTTGCTATAAACAGATATTTATTTTACTACATCAACAACCTGTCAAACGTTTTCTTTTCTTCACTGATAAATAAAGGATGGATAGATAGATAGATAGATAGATAGATAGATAGATAGATAGATAGATAGATAGATAGATAGATAGATAGATAGATAGATAGATAGATATATATGCGTGTATATATATCTATGTATAACCAGTGTTAGTAACATTATTTCATTGGCTAGTTTGTGTTGTTGCTAAGAATGAAAACTGAAGCTTGGCTATAAAACGTATACCTTTAATGCTTTTTGTGCCTTGTCCTCAACGTCAGTCCGTGTCCTGGACACTGATATTGAAGATCCATATATGTTTCATCATTCATTTTTTTCTTTCTTCTCCAAACAGACTGATCTCTTTCCAGGAGTTTCTGGCCTTTGAGGCAGTTCTATGTGCCCCCGATGCCCTGTTCATAGTTGCCTTTCAGCTGTTTGACAAGACTGGTACAGGGAACATCTCATTTGGTATGTGCATGGTAGTTAATGTCAGTGTTTCAGCACAGAGGATAATTTAAACTGGATATTATACCTACGTCTGACTTAAGATGTAGACCTGATGTAGATAATTAAAAGGAATTTAAAGTGCTTCTTGTTGAAAGAAAACATTGATGACATAATGATGAAAAACACTAAGAAACTACTGGGGTGGGGATGATTAAACACTGTAGAAGTTCTTTTTTTGTGTGTAAGCATGTATAGTCAATAAATATGGGAGTATCGGAGCTTTTGGGGGCTTCCTCTTTAGAGTATTAAATATGCTAGCAGTGAGACCTTTTTAAGGTCTCGTCTCTGGGCAGTGCTGCAATGAGCTGTGTGAAACATCACATTATACCCAGCTCCATTCGACATGAATCCAGTCCGTCATAAACCGAGAGAGTCTTACAAAGAAGCTGCTGTCGTGCTCTTTCTGTGCAATAGGCCTCCATAAAGGCAGCTGGAATTGAGAGTAGAGCTTATACAGAAAATTTCCTGGAAGGACTCATGACCCTCAAAATGTAACAGCCTCTTCAGATTCGCCATCCAAACTGACTCTTTCATCTCCTTTAACTGGGTTCTCTGCAAAGGGAATGAGCACGCGAGATGGACATTACAGCTTCATCTTGCAGGTTTTTCCTTCTGTCTTTTGTTACTGCTCACTCGGGCCTCTCTCTTCCAGAGAATGTACGTGACATCTTCAGCCAGACTACAGTCCATCACCACATTCCCTTTAACTGGGACTGTGAGTTCATCAGGCTACACTTTGGCCATGAAAGGAACAAGAACCTCAGCTACACAGAGTTCACCCAATTTTTGCAGGTATGTATTTTTATCTTGGAGCTTCATGTCAAAAGTGATGTGCAGCGTGTTAAAGGAATGAGCTAAATTTCACAGATGAGCATCGGTCCATTTTTAAAATTAAAGGAATGATTTTACATTTTGGAAATAAGTTCATTTGTTTAATCTGTGCTGTGTATGTTACGTCTACAGAAGCCAGATAACAGAAGCTGCATCTAGGCTTGTGAAATTTGTATCTCCTCTACTGCCATCTTGCTCGGAGGGGTGGGGCGGTGGGGTGGTTCATTTCATATCTCAGTTGGTAGACTGGTCCTTCTTTTTAGGCTGCCTTAATACTACCTTCTGTCATTTAAATTGGCTCTAACTCTGTTGGTGTTCTTCTGCAGCTTTCATTACATGTCTGACGTTCACAGTTCTGTCTTTGTAATGACGAGATTTGTTAGATCAATTTTTAATTTTCACAAACTTTATTTTTGGCAGAATATTACCGACAAGCAGATTGGTTAAATTCCTGCCAAAAGTTAAGCAGTATGGTGGAGCAGTGGGTGGTAGTTTCTCATCTCACACCAAGAAGGTTTGGGGTTTGAACCTGCTGCCTGGCTTTGCACGTTCTCCCTGTGACTGTGTGGGTTCTCTCTGGGTAATCTGGCTTTGACCTCCAGTCCAAAAACATGCACGTTAGGCGAATTGTTTATTGGCTGTAGATGTGAAAGTGCAAGCGCGCGATTTCTCCCAGGATCACATGAGATATCGTCTAGGATAGGCTTCAGCCCCCATGTGACTCAAAGTTGACTAAGCAGTTGATGCTTAGTCAACTTTGGATGAATGGATGGAAACCAGTATTGCCAGTATTTTGTTATGGAAACAAATAATATTATTAATATTATAACAATAATATTATAAATATGGAATGGTGGACTGAAACAAAGTTGAAAACTAATGATGACCTGTGACCTCTGTAGACATATATACAATATATATTATGGAAAACTGCATTCCCTGTCAAACATGGCGGCCACTTTTCTTTTGCTTAGTCTAAAAAGTAGTATCTATCAAAAGGTTTTTAAAAAACACACAACAACGTCACTATTCCAAAAAGTGTAAAATATACATCTCACGCTCTTTTCATATGACTTTTTTTTTTTAATTTAAGAACATGTCCCCTCTAAATAAGTGCAAAAGTCTTTAAAGATAATACTTAATGAACATAATCCAACTTTCTCATCTAAATCTGATTAACCTCCTAGGACCTGTCGTCCACATATGTGGACATCACATTTTGGGTTATTTAGACCAAAATACTCAATTTTGCTCTACATGGGCCTGATACCCACTTACGAGGACATTAAACTGCTGCTGTTCTATCAAAACTTTAAACGAATATCCTCATATGTGGCTCTTATTTTTCTTAAAAACAAAAATAAGGTTAAAAAAAATATCTGGTAATTCTTTGTTTTTACATTCATGAGGCCCCAATGTGACCAAATATCAAAGAGAAATTAAAAATGCATGTCGTGGAAGAGTTCGGGTCTTAGGAGGTTAATTTAGTATCTTCTGTATTTAAAGTAAACAGTTTGTACAGAAAAGCAGCCAAAAGTGCTTCAATAGCATCAGAAAACATGAAGTCGTTTCTCCTGTGGGGATTTCATCCCACTTGGGGTCAAATTGGAACTATATGCCATGCATATAGTTGGCATGACTAAAAGGGAGGGGAGTGTAATCAGCAGTTCTGGGGGTTTGAGGGAGCCTGTTGTGCCATTAAGACAGTTAAAGTTTGGCACCAGTTTAGCCCATTTGTTGAGCAGGTGCCCATACAGTTACAGCTGACATGCAGTGGCCCAGGTTTCAATCCAGTCTGCAGCCCTTTGCTATGTGTCCTCCCTTGCTTTCTCTCTCCTTCCTAACTTCGCTTCACTGTTAAACTGTCAAAAAATGCCCAAAAATTGCTATTTTTCTTGATTGATTATTGCCCGGTGTGTGTGTGTGTTGTCAAAAAGAAAAAGCGGGAGCGGGGCTAGTGCAGCGACCTGGTTCAGAGTCGAGGGCTGTGGTCTGAGGCAGAAGCTGGGTGGTCCAAGAGTTATGCAGGCTGCACTCTGTCTCCACTTCAGTGTGGGATCTCTCAGAGCGCTTTGTGGTTTATCATACTTGACTGGAGCTTCCCACCGCTACACCAAACACTCCTCTGCGTGCGGAATTTCATCTATATGTATCATTTTTATTGTCTTGTTTTCTGTCATGTCCGAGCACATCACATTTCTTCTAAGCGTTACTTGAAATTGATGCAAGTAGATCCGATTGTTATTGAAAGTTAGGGCTCTTTCACAGGAATGTGAAACTTCAGTGAGTTTGCAGAGTATTTGTAAGTCTAAAAAAAGTACATGTCTGTGTAATGAGTATCATGACCAGTTTTGAGCATTCTAATCAGCAAACATTGTGAGAATAAATCCACTGATTAGGTTATCAGAGCAAGAATATGAGGATGAAGAAGCACCTCGGTGTTGGAGTTCCTCCACAGTCCTCTGGTTATACGCGATGAGCTTTGACAGCAGACACTGACCCGGGGTCAGCCTCCCCTGCATCCCCTTCTGATTGCACGGTTGTCATATTGAATCATCTTGTTGCGGACACACCTGCCAGCCGCCTCGGCAGCCGCTCAGCTCGAATGCGGGATCAGACTACCCGGGACGTGGTTTTCATTAGTCTCTGGAGAAACGACTGCTATTAACAAAAAAAAAAATCTGTCTAACACGGTCACATCTCATGACTTTCACATCTGTTTAACACTGATATTATTGTACTTTCTTCTTCCAAGGTTCTGGGAACGCACTCTGCTTTTTTTTTTTTTTACCTTTTTAGCATCTTAACCTTGTGTGTCTGTGTGTGCTACAGGAGCTGCAGCTTGAGCACGCCCGCCAGGCATTTGCACAAAAAGACAAGAGCAAAAGCGGCACCATCACTGCCTTGGACTTCAGTGACATCATGGCCACCATCAGGCACCACATGCTGACTCCGTTTGTCGAGGAGAATCTGGTTTCAGTTGAGTTATTACATTTTCCTTTTTTAAACAGTGACACAAGAATTCACAGTTAGCATCTGTGTTAGTGATTTATGTCTTACTGAGCTGCTGTCATTTAGCTGGTTAAGGAAGATTTGAAGGAACATAATAAGATCCATCCGTAGTCCCTCCTTACCAGTAGGTCTGACAGGCTTTTGGTCTTGCTGTAGGCTGCGGGAGGGAGCACCTCCCACATGGTGAGCTTCTCCTACTTCAATGCCTTCAATGCTCTCCTCAACAACATGGAGCTGATCCGCAAGATTTACAGCACGGTGGCGGGCACGCACAAAGACACTCTCGTCACCAAAGGTACTGCCGAGCGTCTCCCGAAATAATCACGTCTGCATCGTAAATGTGATGTGAGATGTTCGATCATATTTTAACTTTCTTGACAGAGTGGTGTGAGTGAACACTCAGGAAACATTTACTGTAGCACTAAATTACTAAGGTAAATGAACATTTTCAATCTGGTAATCAGATCATCCCCTCCCCTCCCCACACATGTATACCTGAGTAACTGATAGTCGTTCTGTCAGTCACATCTGTTCCCAGTTGTGTTTCCCATTCAGATGCAAACTTTAGACTTCTGCTTCCTCTTCATTGGTATTTCGCCTTGTAGAAAAGACTTTGAGCAAACAGTATTTGCAAATAATTATTGTTATTTGTTGCCGAGCATGTCAAATATCATTAAGTTTAAAGCGAGCACTCGCATGTCTGCTGTCCTTCACCGAAAAGTATATCATTGTACGCCTCGAGCATACTTGTAACTAAAGGTGTGGAGGAAGTGAATAACAAACTCTTTCCCCTCTCTCAACAACTACCATTAGGTTTCCTTTTAGAACGACCACCTGATGGCAATGGAGTTTCTCAGCAGGCAGCAGTAAAGAAGTGAATATAAATCCCATATAGCAGAGCCGTGCAGGGTGCTGCTGAGAGTGGTTCAGTTAGTGGTAGTCGAGGAAGAAGTAAAGCACACACAGGACTGGTTTTAATGGTTTTAAAAAATTTTCTGCAACAAAGAGCCACATAAAGAAAAAAATACAAGGAACATTATTTGCAAATACTATATAACACAAACCTCCAGTAGAAAATAACTAATGTTTTTATCCTCTCGGCCTCATGTCTGATGTTTGACACAGCGAAGCTTTGAAATCCAGTTTGTGTGACTGCATCGTCTCCTGTCTTTGTTAAATTGTAGAGGAGTTTGTTCATGCTGCAAATAAGTTTGGTCAAATCACTCCGATGGAAATTGACATCCTGTATCAGCTCGTTGGTCTCCACTCTCACTCTGGGTAAGATCTCCAGTTATTCTGTTGTCACCTGTGGAGTTGGTTTATTGGTCAGTGAACATATTTCAGGCTACAACACGTTTACACTAAAGAGTAACAAGACTTTACTGGACAACAGTTTATAATAAGGTGCTTGTATTTACCATTAGCTTATTTCCATGCTTATGTGAAATCTGTATTTCAAACATTTTCCAATTAGCAGGCCATTAAGAGATTACCTCTCAATAACTCAACTGCTTTATAAGTTCACTTAATATAGATTTATTAAAAACAATATGAACCCTAGTTTAGTTGTATTACGTTACACCAGTGATGCTCAAATAATAGCGCTAGTAGTACTTTCACAGTAACTAAAGGCTCAACTCATTTAAAAAAAACAACAACTACAAAAAAAGCAAGAAAATACAGTTAATTAAAGAACTGATTGACCTGGACAGGTTTGTATGGAAGCTTCCATAGGTTTGTGCAGAAAAGTTATTTTTAAATAAAAACAGGATTGCGTAAATGATAAAAATCGGTAAATAAACAAGTATGTAGGGAAAAAAGTTGTACACCCCACTAAAAGTGTTGTCCGCTCACTGCATAATAGATAATCAAAGGAAAGACCTATCGAAAATTTAGATTTAAAAACTAGGAAATTCTTGACTAAAGGTGTAATTAGAGTGAATTTATTGAGCAAACATGAGCATATTAAGAAAAAAACTAAACTAGTTAGCTAAACATAATGGAAGGAGTGTTTGAAATTAAAAGCTTATATTTATAGATAAGCAGTTGAGACAGTTTACTAACCATAACTGATAAATGGTGAAGTGAATCTAATGGGAAAGAGTAAATGGTAACCTGGTCCAATTCCATACTGAACACATTACAGTGCAATGACCTGGTTCTCGGGTCTGTGGGGGGACGTTATTATAACAGCAACCACTGCATTTGACTGTATTTAATAAGTGTTATTAAAGAAGAATGACCGTCCCGACTCCTGAGTAAAACATACATTATAAAGAAAAACACGAGGAGGATATTGATGGAAAACCTTTAGTTAATGACCTACAAATTGAAGAATGTTTTCTTGTATATGAAGCATTAATAAGTGTTTTATAATTATTCATATAGATTTACTGAAAAAGTAGTACACATGCTAATAAACAGATGTCTAATAGTGAATATTTGTACTGTAATATACAATGTTTCTTTTATTTGTACCTGTTCATGTTGGACAAGCTGAAAAAGTGCTCTTGTACATAAATTTGTAACTAAATTATGAATATGTTCTCATTAAAAGGGCACAAAAAGAAACTTGGACAAACTTCCTTAATATTTTTTTTTTTTTTCTGTTGTGTTTATGTGTATAAATGGGGAAATAATTATTCCAGCTCCTGGATTAACTTGGGTGGTTTTTGACTGTGTAATTTTTTTAAATGTAGTTTGGATTTCTAGCAGACTAATGCTTTCCTAAATTGCCAAAGTCCGACCTGCATATATGTGAGGAATACATGAAATGGAACGAACCAAACTCGAGGTGGAGTCCAAAGAAGTGCAGAAATGTTCTTTTCCACTGTCATTAATGCAGTCGCCCAGGTAGCTTCTCCTGCTATTCCCTCAAATTTACATTTACACAAGCTCCTGTTTTTATTCTAAGCCGACACGAATGGAATGAATATGTTATAAACATCTGTTTATTGGTCGTAAAGATAAAGTTATTGCTCATTCTGTTTAACAATGGTTGCTCCAGTGGCTGATTAACAAGACACACATAAAACATGAATGCAGTCTTTATGATGCATCAGACCAGCGGGGGATACTTGGATCTCCAGCATTTAGTAACAAAACACTTTCATTTACTCATTGGGCCCCTTCCAGCTTTGTTTGTCTGTTGTGTGTATAAGCTCAAGTAGCAGGAACTTTAAGTTATATGGCAGTAAAAGGTCTGTGGAAAATCTTACATCACTGGCTGCCGCTCAAAGTAGATGCACAGCTTTCTGCTTTTTCCTGGACTAAATCCCTTTCTCTTTCCCCCTCAAGGCGGCTGAACCACGCAGATATCGAGAGAGTTGCCCCGCTGGAGGAAGGAGACATGCCATACCACCTAGCAGAGAGCCACAGACAGGTAGCCTGAGTGACTCCTCTAATACACCTCACATCCTCCTGCCTTTCATCAAAGCCTTTCCCACTTCTTCGCCCTGCTTCCTTCTCAGAAAGGAGCGAGAAAAAGGAAGACTGTTCAGTCGCTGAATTAGCAGAGTGCCCATGTTTTTCTTCCCTTGTGAAGTGCATTTCTTTAACTCCCAGATAAAAGTACTCCAATTATAGTCAAAGAGGAGGAATGGATTGTTGCGTTGCGCCTCTCCATGAAAGGCACTGCCTATTTTATTCAGTATGGCTGTACATACACATCAGCTGCAATCACACATCTGAGACGCTAATAAGAGGCTTTTATCAGTGTGGGGCTTGAGAAGTTTTAGGAGCCTTTAGCAAAGTCTGCTAATGGCAGGAGGGGAGTGGGAGTCAAGGTGGATGTGGGAGAACAAAATAGTTCCTGCCTCCACCGGATAACACGGCTCTATATCAGGCTGTGGTCAGAGCTTTCAGGCCACTCCTGGGACTCGTGCTCAGAGGTCTGGAATTTGATTCCTTTGGGGGGGATGCTGCAATTCTCAGCCTTGCCCTTCTGTGGAAGTAGGCTAATTGTTTAAACCCTTTGATCAAGACCTCGATCTTGTTAGCATGCAACTCTGGTGGAAGCATCTGGGAAGAGGGGGAAAAAAAAAGATCTTCTCCACTCCCCGCTCATCTGGTGGCAGGAGAAGTTGCTAAATACATCGACTTGCACACACATTTGACGATGTCTCGCTCGGACTGTGTAATATTCATGTAGATTCTTATCTGGACATGGAAAAGGGTTGTGAGGCTAATCAGTTCCCAGTGTAAACAAAGGCATTTGCTTTCAACATCAAACACCAATCCTGAGATCAAGTGGATAAGGGAGAAATTATGCTTTGTTATAAAAATAAAAGAAGACCTTTTTAGCTTTTAGCCTCCCACATGTCGCATGCGTGGAAAACTCAGCCGCAGGTTCACACAGTCATTTACTGTATCCAGAGCTAGTCTGTCTGTGACATTTAATACAGGCTGATGATGAATCAGACATTATGTGACATGTCTGCATTCCATCGCCTTCCTCCGCCGTTGAGTACTCTATAGCATTTTTCTTTCCACAATGTATCTGGTTCGCTATAGTTTAATAGCCAGCCGATTCATGTTTAGTGTCTGATCCCCCCTCCTGTCTTTCTCCAGATTCATTTGACCGCTGGTGTCTTTTTCTCCTATACAGCACGCTCACGAAACGTCTCGGCCCATCTGGCTCCAGGCTGCGGAGTCTGCCTACAGGTTTTCTCTGGGCTCAATCGCTGGAGGTGAGTGACATGTCTGCGGCGGAGCCCCCGGCCCGCCCGAGCGGTAACCTTAGCCGGCTGGCTGCCGCGCCGAGGCCCCGGGGCCGACCATTGTCCTGCAGGGAGAAGGGCTGTGATGTGAGGCTCCGGCATTGTGCTGCCGTGCCACCGTGGCTCCAGGCTGTCGTTGGAGTCGAAGCTTTGGAATGACACAAATCTTCCGGAACCGCACTCCCTGGAATCTCCCTCTCTAATTACGCTGGGGGGAACTGATACAAGGAACTTCTGACATAACTGCCCCTCAGATAGGAACATGGCCTTTGTATGTGTGTGTGTGCACTTGTTCTCCTTAAATACGCAAAGAGTTTTCAGTCATCATTCAGCAGAAGCCAATTCAGGCCAGGTCAGAGAGAGATATACTGTAAGTCATGAGGCATACAGAGAAACCACCAGGAATGAGCTGTTTCTCACTCACTGTGCTGCTTTCTCTGTTTGCACGTTTGGGAATCATCATTACAGCAGGCCTTGATGCCAAACAAGACATGGCGAGTGTAACTGATAACAACAGTTTAGTGCAGTGTTGCTCAAACTTTTTCTGGCAAGCTTCCCTTCAGGAGTTGAGAAAGTTCACACCCGCCAAACCGCGATTTTTAACAGTTATTTACAATAACAATAAAGGCTCGAAGGTGCATTCTTTTGAAATAACAGAGAACATAAAAGCTTCAACACTCTTCTCTCCTTACTTTTCCACAAATCCTTCTCATTAAACTTGATTTCATCTTGTATTTTTCACCCAGTCGTCCACTTTGCAGGACTTCCTACTCTAAGCTTTATGATGATTTCTTTGAAGTGGTAAACCATCCCCAAATGTAGCTGCAGAATTATTGCTGTACATCTCAGTTGTGTAGGACTCTAGATAAATAAAGTGATGGCTTGTATGCACTAGAGGGCTTCCCAAGGGCTGTCCAATATCAACAGGTTATTGAGTTAAAAATAAATTAAAAAGTAATAGTAATTCATTGTTAGAAGCACAAAGATCAAACATTTACTAGCTTGTCTAGACTGAAAAAAGGGGGGGGTTTCTTTGTCATTTTGGGTTTTCTTGTCTGCCAGTTGCACAAATCAGAAAACAAACTGCAGCTCTTTTTGTCACATTTGCCACAAGTAAAATTTGAATTTGCTTTCTGAATTGTTTAGATGCTCAAAAAAAATCTTTCCAAAATAGTAGAACCTCCCCCCCCCAAAAACTAGTTCATTGTGTGTTTTTTTTATTTATTTATTTATTTATTTTTAATGTTTGTAGCTGCCGGCGCTACGGCTGTGTACCCTATTGACCTGGTGAAGACGCGCATGCAGAACCAGCGCTCCACCGGCTCCTTTGTAGGAGAGCTGATGTACAAGAACAGCTTCGACTGCGCAAAGAAAGTGCTCCGTTACGAGGGCTTCTTCGGCTTTTACAGAGGTAATCATTTACAGATTTATTTTTTTCAGTAAATGAAAAGACCTGAAATCTCTGTGCAAGCCAACATGTGGGTGTCGTGCAAAACAAACCATCTGATGGGAAAGCATCAACATTCGCCAGCGCGCTAATATCGGGAGCATGGTTCGCTAATTGATACCAGAAACCTTTGCCCTCCCTGTTCAGCAGTGAATAAAGCAACACCCAGGGGTCACGTTTTCATTATCTCAGTACCTGGGAGAGTTGCCCGAGGAGAATGACCAGCAGTATTCATGTAGCAACAGCAGCAGCGGTGTCTGATCTGCCTCTGCCTGAGTGGTGATAATGGTGCTGAAGGCTTGTGATATACAACACTTCTTTCATATGAGGGAAGTCAAGACTGCCATCTACTGCTGCCTCTACCGCTGCAGCGCTTTGTTGCTCTGATCTGCGTCCCCCTGCCCTCCTTCCTCATCTCTTGCACATGATAAGAGGGTGATTGACTCAGAGACAGACACGCTCGGCTGTTTTCTGGCTGCACACCAGCAGCAGTCACTCAGCAGCTCCTTCAGAAGTTTATCTGGCCTGATGAAGGACAGACGGTGAAACAGTATGGCAGTTATCGCCACTGTAGCACCCAGCCTCCCCCCTCGATCTTGTACGTGACCACACAGCTCTCTCTGTTCCCCGCTAACAGCAGGATCAAGTCTCCGCGATGCTGATCCCATATGGAGCAGCCGTGTCATATTTTTGGGGACTTTTGTTCAATTTCAGTGGGACCTTTGTATGCTGGTGCATCAGCTGTATCAGGCACCATCTGTAAATATTTATGGGTTTGTTTTACACGCACAAGAACCCCGCAGCTTATATTGTTCTAGCTGTCAGTGGATGTATTCATTCAGCAAAGATACAAAAAAAAAAAGTGCATTCATTTCCAGCCAGACTGTCTCTCTTTCTCTCTCTCTCTCTGTCAGGTATTCTAATGGTATCTATGAATAATATTTTGCAGGTCTCCTCCCGCAGCTCATTGGCGTTGCCCCGGAGAAAGCTATCAAACTCACGGCAAGTCATTCCACTGCGTAGCTTAGAGTGCTCAAAAAGTTGTTCTGAACGATTCATTGTGAATGGAAAAAAAACATGCAAAGAAGAAGAGACACACTTTGCAATCAAGATGCGACTGCAACCACAAGTTAACATTAATGCCCTGCCATCAAGACTGCGATTGTGTCTCATCTGACTTTTTCTTCTTCTTCTTCTTCTTCTTTGTGTCTCCTTTCCTTTATTTTTTCTTCTTTTCTTCAGGTGAACGATTTTGTCAGAGACAAGTTCACCAACCAGGATGATACCATCCCTCTTCCTGCAGAGATTCTGGCTGGTGGATGTGTAAGCATTACTGAGGCGATCATCATTCAAATTCACTCTGTAGATGAACTCAAAACCGAGTGAAGGGACACCTTAAAGATAAGCGATGTATGCATGAGTAAAAAAAAAATAGTGCAGTGATTATGTGCGTTTTGTAGTCTTGGGTTCATAAGTAAGTACAGAAATGAAATGTGTAAGTATTTCAGATGCAAAGCTAAACTGATACTGCTCTTTTAGTGTTTTAATTTTTGTTTTAACATATGTGAAGGGTGAGAAATGTATTTAACGTGCATGAAATGATCATTATATGCCGTGCGGATGAGGTATTCAACTTTACTTAAAGGTGTTATATGTAAGTACGTTGTTTTTTTGTTTTTTTTAAACATCCCTCCATCATGTCTGCCCTCAGTGTCATTTAGCTGCATCTCCAGTAAGTCTCTAAAATATCTCCAGTGGATGGATCCAGCTCCACCAGCTGCAGCTGGGAAGCCCAAGATGGGGGAGCTGGTTCTGCTCTGCATAGTAACACGGGAACCAGATCTCTTATTTGTTGCAAGTTGAGGTCGGCATGTCAGAGAGACTGAATGTGGAGGCAGCTGAATGAAATCTAGGACTACCACAATATTAATCTTACCTGTCGGTAGTAAGGATGAGCATTTCAGGCGCATATTGCTTTCAGTATTCTTCATGTACTGCCTTGCTGTGCCAGGCTTTTGCCATTCTAGTTCAGTTTTTAGCTTAATGACCATTTAAATATTTGTAAATCATGACCATCCATAGCTGTCAGGTAGGAAAACACAAATGTCTTTCAAAATAAAATACTTGTGTAAAGCTAATTAAAATAAGAGTATCAAAACATTCTACAAGTCCACATCCTGCATCACCATCCAGAGAGGTCAGTTAAAAGTACAAAAAAGTATATATCTTTATTGTTACTAACGAGGCCTGCAGCACTTGTTCACTTCAATCATGTATTTAAACATACACGTATGTTATGTTTCACTTACTGCTATTCTTTTTATCTTCACTACATGAGTGTATATAGTCCATCCATTCATCAGAAACACAAAACAAATGATAATATACACATACGTTTAAGACGAGGTAATCAATCAGACACTGTTTGATGAACACTTATTAACAAATATGGATGACAGCACTTTCCAGTGGCCCCAAAGTGCCACTGCACTACAAATTGAGCAAAATGTATTTACAAACAATGCACACTTATCATAGATCAGCTACTGTGCATAATCTATACAAATTATTAGGATATAATTATTCCCAAAAGCTATAAACATGTTGATAATCCTGGTACCCTAGGCAGGTTGTACAGTGAGTTTCATCCAGACTGATCAATGTGTCTAAGAGGAACAGACATACATATGCCACAATCATAAAAGTAAGATATTATTGCATGATGAGTAAGTAGTTTTTGCAGGTGAGAACATTATAAATACATAGTACAGAAAGAAGTGTTTCCCTCTTTAATGTGGTGATGTGGAGTAATGAAAAGAGTAGACTACAGTCACCCTGTCTTTGCACCTAAGCAGAGTGCTTGATGCACTTTTACAGTCCCACAGAAGAAAAATGACACTCCTGTTTTGTTGTAATGTTTTGTGCGTATGTTTCTGGTTGTAACCACACCATTTAGAGGAGAAGGTGCCCCGGCTTGTTTAAAGTTTTTGAAAGACAAGTCTTTCACCTGCGTTTGGATCTTTGTGAGGTGTCCGTTTTGGATTTGTAAACACAGGGAGACATCGTGGTTTTATTTCATTTCATTGCTTTAAATTGAATCTGACTTCATTTGCCAGTGTGTTTATTGTTGCCATGGTGACTGTTATTAAGTGAGAGAGGTTGCTATAATTCAGCGTCTAATGTCAGCACATCGGAAGTTTCCCAAAACAGAAACTATGATTGTGAATCGTCTGAAATGGCGACTGCGGTCAGGTGTGATTCCTTTTTCTGTGTAGCAATTTGTCATTGCATCATCGGATTAAAGATGCCTCTGTGCCGGCTGTGCTGAAATAAAGCAGGAGCGCTGTGGAGCAGAGGCCGCAGGTTGGACTCAGAGGAGCTGAGGTCTGCGGGGTCGTGACCCCTGTCAGGGTGCAATTGAAGGAAGAGGCCCTGGAGGGCCCTGGATGAAGCGGGGTCTAGCTCATTGTGATTGAGTTTGACAACGCGGTACGAACCTGAGGCGTAGTCACCGTGCAGGTCTTTGCACAGGGTGAGGATGGTGTCCACTACAATGCTTGCTGCGAAGAAGTTATTCCATCTGTGGACCCTGATAGAAATGTATTTTATGACTTTCCCCATATTCTCGTGTTGCTTCATGAGAGTTTGAAGTCTGCTTAATCTGATAATTTGTTAAATAATTGCTTCCACCAGACAGAACTGAAGGAGATAAAAGGGAGCAGACGAGTGAATCAATCTTCAGAGAAGCGGATATTCCCCGTCCACTCTGAAGATGACTAAATATGCCTGAGCTTTTTTTAGACCTTTGCTCGGATGTTTACAGATAAGACCCCTGCCCTGAATGTCACCAGCAGGCATCCTGAGGCCTGATTAGATGTGGGGCGGGTGATAAATGTGCCTGAGTCAGAGGGTGCCGTGCCTTTAGGGCATCGCTTTCCTGGACTCTGAGCTGTCTGGGTGATTCAGCGCTCTCCCCTGGGAATAGGGGTGAATTGGGGAAGTGTGCGGGCCGAGGCCAGGCTGGGCCACTCACCCTGCCACAGGAGGTGCCTCGGGGGAGGCGAGGGGGCAGAGGGCTGGTGCCAGGGTCAGAGCCTCCCAACCATGAGCCGAGACTTCTCCTGCTCTATTGTGACCCCGGTTGTTCTTCTATCAATGCTTGCTTTTTCCTCCTCCTGTCAAGGCCACGCTCTGACAATATCACATCAGATTTAGGAGGAGGAAAAAAAAAGTATTCTTTGTGCAAGAGGTTTACCGAGATGATTTTAGAATCCCTGTGGGGAAGAAATGCTTACACATCATTACCATTTCACCCAGAATTCACCCCTCACTTGTGCAGCCTCACACACCACTGAAAATCCACTTAGAGACCCTGATCCTTGCATTCTTAAGCCACAAGTCAGCTGTTTGTTTATTTTTATTTTTTTTCCCGTTGCAGGCTGGAGGCTCCCAGGTGATTTTCACCAATCCTCTGGAGATTGTTAAGATCCGTCTGCAGGTGGCTGGAGAGATCACTACTGGCCCAAGGGTCAGTGCCCTGACTGTTGTGAGGGACCTGGGCTTCTTTGGCCTCTACAAGGTAGGTCAGCGCCATGACGTCTGCAGCATCAACCTCCTTTAACTGTCATACAAGGGCAGTGAAAGGTACTCCGATGATCCCGAGACACAAGCAGCCAACAACATGAGTTTATTTTTGTTTGCCATGGTGTTGTCACTTGTAAGTTTCTCATCTAAAAATTTTTCCACTGATTTTTCTTGATTTAATGAATTGTTGGATACATTAAATTCACAACCAACATCCCTCTAAATAAGAAGGTGGAGACTGACATCTTTAATATTTTCTGCTTGTAATTTTAAACCTTTGTTTGATTTTTTTAACTATAATTTACATTGGGTCTGTCAGTTAATATAACTTGAGCAATGAAAGTGGCAATACAGTAATTTAACACCTAAAGGTTCTCGATGCAAAATCATATCTATCCTAATATTCGTCTTAATTTCTAACCCTCTGTATCAAGAGTAAAAGGCACAATATTTCCCTCTTAAATTTAGGGATTTTGGTGTGAATTATAACCTGCTCTTATTTAATTTCCTGTAACAATACATAGATGAAACACTACTGTTTTTGAACAAACATCTTGTATGTGTACATAGACATAATGGAGATGGAGAAACAGAAATTTGAAGATCAAACATTGCTCTGCTGACTGTTTGCAATTTTCCAAAACAGTGTTAAACATGCAAACGGAACCGCAGCCAACAACCGACAGCAAATTACTGAGGGATTACGCTTTGCTACTGCTCCTTTCCAAATCCTTGCGGCTTTACTTACAGCTGGAGTCATGTGTTCATACTCCATATTTTAATGAGCGGCAGACAGTGTGTGGCTTGTTTGAAAAAAGAAAAGGGAAGGAGGGGGGAGAAAAAGCGGACTTCCTCTTGGTAAAAGAAGCCAGCACACTGAGGTCTGTGGTGTGATGGATTTTTCTCTGGAGGTCCAGTGCCTGGGGCTCTTTGGCTCCATCATCAACACTAAAGCCCCCCGTAGGTTAAAATAAATCAGATCCCAGACCATTTAATCCCAAAGACAAACCTGCTCCACTGCTGTCTTTGCTCATTCATCAGCCCTGTTATGTTGCTTTGATTTTTAAGATCTTCCTTTTTTTCCTGTTAGGGAGCCAAAGCTTGCTTCCTGCGTGACATTCCCTTCTCCGCCATCTACTTCCCCGTTTATGCCCACACCAAGGGGAAGCTGGCAGATGACGATGGAAGGCTGGGGGCTCTGCAGCTGCTCACTGCTGGAGCTATCGCAGGTAACGAACATCTGGAAAGCTCAGAGAATCTGGACATTGAAACAGCGGCATGTTGAGTCGTTTTGTAAAGGGATCTGTCATGTTGTCTGCACAAAAAAATGCATTTAGGTTTCCTCCCAGTTTGTGCATAGCATAGCGAGAGTGCTTTATGATGTGGTTGTTTTTTTTGTTGTTTTATTTAAACAAGGTGTACCAGCAGCTTCTTTGGTGACCCCTGCTGATGTCATCAAGACCAGGCTCCAGGTGGCAGCCCGAGCAGGCCAAACGACGTATAACGGAGTCATCGACTGCTTTAGGAAGATCCTCAAGGAGGAAGGTTTTAGAGCGTTTTGGAAGGGCGCAGGAGGTAAAACACACACACACACACATATATATATATATATACACACCTCATATTTCACCTGAACTGAACAAATAGACTGTATATGAAGATAGAGATAGCCCAGTGTAAGTTTTGATGCCTTAGCCTTTTGTCTACCATCTTATTCGTATTTATATATGTGTTCGGACAGTGACATAACTGATGATAGCAAACTTGGTTAGCAAAGTTTATCCATCCACAGCTGAGGTACATCAAACAGTCATGGATATCTTCTAATTAGTGAGACATAGAAATAAGCTACTGGAATTTCACTTGCCTAAACTGAGCAGAAACCTCTTGGATGGGCTGTACGAGCATACAGCAACACCACAAATGCGATCGAGGGATCCAGTGACTCAAATTAGCTGAGGTGAAGCGCAGCAGATCTGTCAGTCGTAATGACAAATGCAAGCTTTAAGCATTAATAAAAGGGTTTGTGGGGCTCAACTGTAGTGGCCTCCAGAGGAACTGAAGAAACTGCAGTTTCACGTTTCCATTAATTACCGACCCTCAGGGTTGCCGTTTAGCCCTAACAACCATAGAAGGCCTTTGATTTCTATAAATGAAACTCACACTCACATGATGCTCACCAGAGTAATGCTATTTCTCTGTAACTGTCATTTTTTAAATTTCTCCCTCTAGCTCGCGTCTTTAGATCGTCACCGCAGTTTGGCGTAACACTGGTGACCTATGAACTGTTACAGAGATGGTTGTATGTTGACTTCGGAGGACAGTAAGTACATTAATCGCGTCTCAAACAAGAGCGAGCCACTCATTAGTGCATCACGAGGCTCAGCATCTCCTAATCTTTCTTCTCAGTCGTCCTGCTGGATCTGAGCCCACTCACAAACCTACAATCAAGGACCTTCCCTCTGTGACTCCAGACCACCTGGGTGGTTACCGTCTGGCTGCCTCAACATTTGCTGGCGTGGAGAGAAAATTTGGCCTGCACCTGCCCAAGTTTAAGCCTTCCGGAGAGGTGACAATCACATCAGCGACGTCCAAAGCGGAGCCTCAAGCCTCATAAACAGTCACTTCTCGTGAGGGCTGCATGCACTTTCAGCCCTCATTTCCTCCTTTACTTAACCACATTTCGATTCAATGCATAGAAGTGGTTGTCTTACTATAAATGCTGCATGGGTATGGCTTTAATTGCATTTTCTTTGCATAGCTTGCACAATTTTTTTGTACATCTTGTACTTCTCCACAGAAGGACATTATGGCATTACAAAGGATTGTCACTGCGCTTTTCTGGTGTGCATGTTTGACTTACATTTAAGAGACATGAGGATGTACAGATATTTTCCAAAGTATTTATTTTGAAATCACGACCAGGGGACTTGGGAAATAATTTAAATGTATTTATTGTATTTTACTGAAATAAATCATTCAAACTGTTGATTTCTATTGTGAAATGTACATTCTCTGTTTTGACACCAATCTCTATTCAGAGCCCATCACTGTACATGACAAACGTGGAAATCACCGAGCAGTTACAGCATACATAATCACCCTATTCAACATGCTGGGGTGATATTCCAACCATCCCGGATCCAACTTGAGCTGCGCTGATTAAGAGGCAAGAAGTGCAGTATAAAACAACATCTTGGTAGAAAGACTTTGACATTTCACTATTTTACAAACACGTGTTTATGTTATCCAGTCTAAAAGAACAGAGATGGCGACGTGGGCTACAGCTATGAGATGTTTACATTCCTGGGTGTTTAGAGATGTGATTGCTTTACTACAACTTTGGTGGAAATGGAGAACAGCTCTTACTGATTTTCCTGAATATGTTGAAAGTGGAGCACCGACTTAACTCATAATTAAGGCTGCCATGCTGTAAATAATGGTGGGTAAAGACGTGACAATCAAGATTTAAATTAAACTTTAAGGCATCTGGTTGAAGAAAAGATGACTGTTTTGTGAATATGGCTTTGGGTTAGTGTCTGAGGTTCGTAGCCCTGTCGCTTGGCTTATTCAGAGGAAGACTGACCACGGTGCAGCGAACTAAGAAGGCAATTGTCTAAATAAGAGGAGCGTTGGAAACCAAGCGATATCCGTACTTCTTTCTGATACAAACTTCATCTTTTCCATCTATCAAAACAGGTCTGACATTAACGAGCACATGACTGGTCCCTTAAATGCCTCGTCCAGGGAGATAAGCTCATGCGGCCAGACGCTGAGCTGCAAGCTCCTCTGCGTCATCCCTGTTCTCGTTGATTTCTGCCAGTGTGCGAACAAAACGGGTCCATTCGTCATTTCGCGGTACCGCAATTTGCTGTGGGGGAGGAACATGACAGAGGCGTGAATTTCAAACGCAGACAGGTTATGCTCTGTGCATTTTTTTACTCACAAAGAGCAGACCTAAAATGCACAAATTAGTCCTTAAGATGCTCTTCTAAAATCTCTATAAGGTAAATGCTTTACAATTAATCCCTCATTACTAAATTACACATTGTAGCAGGTGAGAGGCTGACTCTTTTTTGCAAAATCCAAATTGTTTTTTTTGTTTTTGTTTTTAAAGGTACAGTCAGAAACTGAAAGGCTGACTCATGCTTGCTCACCTCTCCAACATCATAGACAAGGACTTGTCCATCAGAGTCTCCCACAGCGATTTCTTTGCCAGAATGAGCCCATCTGACCCTGTTCAGGGCTGGGTTACCCTGCACTGTGACGCTGGCGGTGGGGACCTGAAACAATAACAGCAATCAGGAGTGTACTTGCACGCTAAACCATGTGAAGGCACAGGATCTGATATGGTTAAAAAGGTCAAAATCAAGATATGAGTATCTCGTCTACAGTAAAGTTGGTAACAGCACACAGCTGCTCTTCTGAGAAATGTCTATTAATATTACCTCTGTGTCATTGTTGAGGTTCCACAGGTCGAGATGACCGACTCCGTCCACGCAAGCAAACAGAGCAGGGTGAGTCGGGGACCACATGACATCATACACGTAATCCGAGTTATCCTCGAATGAGTACAGCGGCTTATTGTTCTGCAGGGGGGGAAAAAAACAGCTTCATTCAAAAAGGTTTCCAGTTTTAAATGTATAAATATCCATCTACACACTAATGCAACTCAGTGATGTTTTAAACTGTTAAAACGCACTGTCTTATGTTACTTAGCAAAGCCACTCAACATTATCACAAACTGCAGTGTGAAAGATCAAACATTACAAAGGTTTGTGTTTCAAAAGAAGTGTATGGTTATGTTCATACAGGACACACAATAAGACACTGAACCCCAAGTTGCTCTGCAATGAGTCCATTAGAGTGTGAATTTTAAAAAGTGCTTGTGTGAATGGGTGAGTTTGAGTGCTCAAGTAGAAAAGTGCTCTATAAGAACCAGTCCATTTACAATACTGCTAAAAAAAATGCTTAAAGGTCACTTAGAAATGTTGTAAATGACAATTAATGATTAATGAAATCAATCAGAAGTAATTTATGATTTGTAATGGAATATGTATGCAGGCCCAATTCCAGCGACCATCATCTATGTTTTTCCTAATGGGACACTGTGTTACCTAATGCAGCTTTATCATGTTAAAAGGCTAATTGATCATTAGAAAAAAGCCCTTTCCAATTATGTTAGCACAGCTGAAAACTGTTGTGCTGATTAAAGAAGTAATAAATTTGGCTACTTGAGTATCTGGAACATCAGCCTCTGTGGGTTCATTGTAGTCTTTAAATTTGGGGGGGGGAAGAAAAAATAAATAAAATCAGAGTAAAATTTTTCCAAGAAAAACAAAACAAAAAAGTTATTTCATGATTAGATTTGCAGTGAACAGATTTCAATCATCTGTTCTATTCGACTCAAAGAATAGCACAAACCTCTAACCAGAATAAAATCAACAAGACTGAGACGCTCTCCCATAACAGACCAAGAAGAGACGCAGTCTCTAGTTTGAAAAACAAAAGTCTCACAAGCCTCAAGGGCACCCACAAAACACCCGATTCTACCTCGACACTGAAGTGATGACACCAGGATGGTGGGCTTCTAGACAGAGTTACTGAACACAAGGGAAAGATTAAGATGGGCGAAAGAAAACAAGAGCGGCAAAAAAGTGCAGAGGGATCCAAATTTGAGGAGACAAAGAAGAAAATTTGACAGACGTAGAACAAACAAAAAGATAATCATTTGTCAAACTGATGGAGGGAACGTGAAAGGCCGCCTCTCTGCGATGTGCTCTTTTTAATCATAGAGTATAAAAATAAAAGCAGTCAGCTGATATCCCAGTCTGTAATGGAACGGCTGGGCAGAATCGCTGGATCTCAAACCCACTCATCTGTTGTGGGAACAGAATGACCGTATGGTTTGTAAGAAGTGTCCAGTGTGGGAGGTGAAATGTCTACAGAACAAAAAAAAAAAAAGCCATCGGGAATTCTGTAACTGCTGCAAATGGATGAAAAAGACTTGCTTTGGGATGGGATGCAATGGGGACAGCCTGTTATGTCAGAACAGAGCTTTTACAGTTTGCCTGGCTTAAACTGGCCCTCTGGGAGCTGACTGCACAGGAGAGTGGGGCCCAGAGGAGGTTCGCTAAGTCCCAGCCACCAAACACTCGCCATTGAGCCTCCCCATCCCTGGGTGTTGCTCCACAGTGGGGCCCCAGTAACCCTCGCTTGGGCAGGGCATCATATCGTTCCTGTTCTCTTCAACGGGGGTTTCTGAATCACTCTTCATCTGGCCCCTCACTTAACGCTGAAATTGCCCCAGGGGACCCCACTGGGGAAGGCTGCCGCTGACAACCGAGCTTCTGGGATCACAAACCCCATCCACGTCTATAAGCCGGCGATGCACGAAGGGGCCAGATGAAAAGAGGCTGTCTCCCAAAAGAGCTAGAGGAGGTGGCCGTGTATGTGTCTATTCATTGCCAAATAAAGACAACAGAGCGCAGGCAGGTGAGACTTTCACTTTGACAACACTTCTTATGAATTTTCATTACATGCCCTTTTCTCTCATTGTCTCTTATTTTTTTCAGTCTCCCGAGTTCAGTTCAAGAGTGTTCTGTATTATTCATTGTGATGTACAGTCAAGATGTCAAAAGTGAAAATTTTCCACTGCCACCACTAATGCATTATATCAAATGGTTTTTTAAAAAAAAAATCCTATATGTAAAAATGCAGGGTAACAACTCTCATTTACCACAACAACTACAGATAAAAAAAAAAAAAAGTAATCCATTTTTATATAAACATTTTTAAAATAAACATTAGAGCCTAACAGTCTGAGCCGACCTGTTGCTGTGGAAACCAAACTGTGGCAAATAGGAGGTGAAAAAATTAATTATTTTGGCTAAACGGAGTCTGGTATTGACTGCTGTATCAGGACATCTGTCTACAAATTCAATCAATAGCCTTTTAACAGAAGTCTGTGACTTAAAAATCAACCTTAAAAGAATCATTAGTCCCACCTTACGGCTGAAAGTGAACAATAACTGGATTATAGTGAAGCCCAGAGAGGCACAGAAAGGGAGGAAACTTTTCCCTATGCAGAGATGGGCCAAATAAATGAATCATGGCCTTTAAAATACATCCTAGAGCTCAAGTCATACCTTGGTGCTCCACAGCTTGACAGTCCAGTCGAAAGACGAGGTAACAAACAGGTGAGAGAAGTCCAGTGGCCCAGCAGCTGTGTGGCAGTGGAGCCCCGTGATGGGGCCGTGGTGTCCCTCAAACATCTCGCTAATGCCTGCTTTGCTGTGGAGCACACAGATAAATATGGGTAAATATGCTTAAACTGACCACAAAGAATTCAATTTTACCTTCAGATCTAATGTCTGAATACACATTTATGTGCACTGTAGAAACTTTAGAAAAAAAGAAACAACAAAAATGCACAAAACTGCTGGTTGTTACCATTTACGCAATGCATTAAGCAGGTAAGTAAGCGACAGGCACAGATGGACCTCTGCTGGACGTATTCACAGTAATCATTTACTTGTATCATGTAATTACCAGCAGGGAGGCAAAAGTGACTGCATCCCTTCAACCACATGTTGCAGAGCTGTTACCCAACTGAGACTCTGATAATTAATGTAGAGAGGTAAATACTCAGCATGAGTGATGCTTATGCATTATTAACTGCGATGAGAGTATCATACCATTGTAAATGATGTGGAAAATTATTCCCCCGATTACAGAGGTGATTCTGCAGTGCAAAACCTCGCAGCTATCACCTCTCTGTGGTCTCCAGGCATACTACAGGACATTTGGTGCGAGGCTGACACGCTGCTCACTGGCAGCTCTGATTTAAGCCACATTTCTCTGCCGAG